TCGTCTCTTGGAGGCAGCATCTGTAGCTTTGGTCTGTCGCATAGTGTTGCCATGTCTACTCTAGCCTTAGGGTTGTCCTTTGTCTTGTCAGAAATGTCCATGAGTGTTGCCCAAAGTGCTTCGGCGACATTCTTCTCATTGTGCATTACATCTATGTTATGTGGAAGGAGAAGGTCATCAAAATAGGGAAGACTCTCCAATCCCGACTTATGAGTCCACATATGTTCCACACCATAGCCCACAAAAGCGATCTTTGTTTGGATTATCTTTCTTTGGATTAACTTTCTTTCTTTTACTCTTCTTTGGATTATCTTTCTGCGCCGGGAGCACGAGAGCATCTATCTGAGCATGAACCTGGGCACTAGTCATATTCTCAGGTGTAGGGTCGGTCACCGTGACACCTTTCGTGAAGTTCTTGGTGTCTCCTCTGAATGCATGGTCAAGAGGGAGGAACTGTCGATGCTTGTCGAACGACGAGAACTTCTCACCCTTCTTCAACCAAATGAACTGTAGAGCTGCCTTGCATACCGGGCATGGAAACTTCCCATGGACACACCAGCCAGCGAATATCCCATACGCCAGGAAGTTATGCATGGAGTACTGGTACCAAACATACATTCTAAAGTTCTTCTTTGTAGCTCGGTCATAAGTCCATACGCCTTCATTTCAAGCCTTGATCAATTCATCATAAACAGGCTGCATGTACACACCCATTTTGTTTCCCGGGTGTCCAGGAATTATCAACGTCAAGAATATGTTTTGCCGTTGAAGTAGGGCCCCGAGGGGGAGATTGAGGGGAATAGTGAACATGGGCCAACAAGTGTATGGGGCCGACATCATTCCATAAGGATTGAACCCATCCATTGCCAGCGCAACATGTACATTACGGGCCTCTTCATCTTTGCCACGATGGTTGCCATTATAGCTTTTCCATGCTTCACCATCTGCTGGATGTACCATCTTGTCAGGATTGTATCGAACGTCATTCTTGTGCCATGTCATCTGTTTCGCGGACTCCTCGGACATGAATAGTCATTGAAGCCTCGGTATGATCGGAAGGTGTCTTAGGACTTTCATGGGGATGTCCTCATTCTGCTCCTGCTTTCCATCACCTTTGTCTACCTCCACATACCTAGAGGATTTACACTTTGGACAGTACTTTGCATCCTTATGTTCTTCCCTAAATAGGACGCACCCCTTCGAACAACAATGTATCTGCTCATACGACATCTTCAGCGCCCGAAGGAGTCTCGTTGACTCGTACAAGCTGCTCGGCAGATGATGACCCTCCGGAAGCAGCCCCCCAATAATTGTCATCATAGCATCGAAGCAGGCTCGAGTCATGTTGTGCTGGGACTTCAACCCCAGTAGGCGGCCAATGGCATCCAGTTGAGAAACCAGTGTCTTCTCATGTAGGACCTTCTGTGTCGAATCCAACATGGCCAAGAACGCCTTAGCGCTTGGCTCTGGCTCCTCCTCCTCATCCTCCTGCTCATCCTCCGTAGGCCTTTTAGCAAATGTCGCATCCTCATAGTCACCTAACCATCCTGGTACCCCGCCATCACCGTCAAATGCCTCCAAGCGTCGTCTCACGGCCTCCTCTCTAGGACGATAGGCTTCACCATGGGACACCCACCGGGTATAGTTTGGCATAAATCCATACTTGCAAAGATGCTGCACCATGACTTCCCTTGTTTTTCTTTTCTTGTTTTCACATTGGCTGCAGGGACAGAACGTGTCTCTCGCTCCCTTAGTTGCCTTAAATGCATGGTCCAAGAATTTCTCGGTCTTATCCATCCATTTATGGGTGATTTGAGCCTGACTTGGGCATCCCATGTACATCCACTCACGGTTATCCATCCTCTAGCATATACACATAACAGAGTAATATAACCATCAGTTGCATCTACACGACGTGCCTAATGTCTAATAGGTGAGGATAGGTCCTAATCCCACCCGCAGATGCGTAGATGAGGTTAGTTTTCATGCTCTACTCCGATCCGAGACAGAATTTCGGTAGCACCTCCCCGCTGTTCTCCCGATACACGTCCTGGAAGGGAGAGTGTGTATCTAGAGAACAACAGTGAGGTGGTGCCGAAACTCTATCTCGGATCCGAGCATAACATTAAAACTAACCCATCTATGCATCCGCGGGCTGTCCAAAAAACGTGGACAATCCGAAACAGATATGGTCATAGATATGTAGAGATCCGCATACCTCCAACCGTATCTGTTTCGGACGGGAGACGCCTAACTGGGCTACACCGATCTACGTACTACAACGGTAAGGAAGAGAGCTCAATTATACCTAGGGTGGCGGTGGAGACAGGCTAGCGGCGTAGTGGCGAGTCGGTGTAGTGGCGAGTCGGTGCTGTGTAGGTAGGACCGCAACACCGACGAAGACGATCAGGGTCGCCGAGGTGCTCCGGGTCCCCTTCGACGGGTCCTGCTCTGCAAAAGAAGAAAAACATCACTAAAAGTTAAAAATTTCGGCAGAACCTCCCCTGCACGGGGAGGTTTCCAAAACCTGCAAGAAAAACCGTCGGCACGATGGCCGACGTCCACATTTGGGGCACGATGGCCACCACAACCACAAACCCGGCACGAAAGCCGTCAATGACATAAACGGCGCGATGGCCGACAACCCTACGGCTTTACCTTCTCCTCCGGCGAGGGCGGGGATGACGGCGTGGACGAACGGCGTGGACGACGTGGATGAATGGCATGGACGAACGTTCGTCCCCTCCACCTCGGCTTCCTCCCCCTCTCCCCTTCTCCTCCTCCTTCTTCCACCTCCTTCTTCCTTTTTCTTCTTCTTCATCCTCCTTTTTCTTCCTTCTTCTTCTTCCTTCTTCTCCTTCTTCCTCCTTCTTCCTCCTTCCTTTTCCTGCTACCTTCTTCCTCCTTCCTCCAGGGCATGGTAGGCTCACCGGGCCACCCCTTGGGCCAGGCAGGGCCGGGCGATCGAGGCTGACCAAGGCCAGCATGGTGTGTCGAGCAGTAAGGCGGCGGCGGAACCAGTGGCGGAGGCGGCAAAGTGGGGCGGTGTGGCGCCAAGCGGCGTGCGCGGGCGAGGCGGGCGGCGTCGGCGTCGGGCGCGGTCGGGGCGCCCCGAATCCAGTGGCCCGTGGCCGGCAGGGAGTGGGGGCAGCCGTAGCCTGGCCAAGCAGGCCAGGCGACGAGGCAAGGGCCTTGAGGCGATTGAGGCAGGTGGAAGCGGGCAGGCGAGGCTGGGCAGGCCTTGGCGGTCATGTGGCGAATGCCAAGGCAAGCAACAAGCAATGCGCGCGAGGGTGTGCGTCTTGTGAGTGTGTTGTGTGGAGTGAGTGTGGGGCGGCCCACACATTTAGTTAAACTTTCCCCTTTTGCGAGTCTTTGGTAGGGCCGCCACTCGGCAAAGGCTTTTTTTTTAAAATTCTTTGCCGAGTGCCGCTTCTCGGCACTTTCGGCAAAAAACTCTCTTCTTAAAGTGCCGGGCGAAGACTTTCGGCAAATTTTTGTTTTTTGTTTTTTGCCCCATTATTTTTGCAACCTTAATATATTATTTAAAACTCTATGTTTAAATTTGGGACAATTTTGGCTTTTTTGCTATATTTTGTTGGTTTTTTGTTTACGTTGAATTTTATGGAATATTTCAAATTTGAGCTGCCAGTGCATGGAATAATCGAATTTGGTCGTTCAAAAATTGATATTCATGATATTTGGTATATGTTGAGGCCGTATCGAGGGAACTCATGAAATTTTGTTGACGAACATCTTGTTGGCGTAACATGACGAGTTTTGTTATACTGCTCGAAAAGTGTATTTAAATTATATAAAATCGAGCGAATGTTACTGAAAATGAGATGATCGAAACTTGTTGAGTTCGTAATGGCGTTATACCATGTAGAGTCTATGGTAAAAAATTGAGAAGGTTTCAAGCAAGTTATTCCGTCGGATGCAAAACCGGACATGTGAAAATTTGAAATATTCCATAAAATTCAACAAAACAAAAAACTAACAAAATATAGCAAAAAAAGTCAAAATTGTCCCAAATTTGAACATGGAGTTTTAAATAATGTGGGAAGGCCTCACAAAAAATGGGTAAAAAAAACCAAAAAAAAATATTTTGTCGAGTGCCGGCCCTGGCACTCGGCAAAGAAGGGATCTTTACCGAGTGCAGGGCCTTGGCACTCGGCAAAGACCCTCTTTGCTGAGTGCCAGGGCCGGCACTTGGCAAAGATTTTTTTAAAAAAATTTGACGGCGTGGGCGGGCTCGGCCGTCAAGTGCCATTTTTTTTGCCGAGTGCCACTCTTTGCCGAGTGCTAGACTTTGTCGAGTGCCACCCGGTCCGGCACTCGGCAAAGAGTGGCTTCGCCGAGTGCCCGATTTTTGGCACTCGGCAAATCTGCGTTCTCCCGTAGTGAAAGCAAGCAGTTATATATGATTATACCATCACCAAGTCAATTGTCTTCTAGTACCAACATGCCTACATATATTCTCTAATTGCATTCTCTAATTGAGATCTGCATTCCAAAATTCAAGTACAGAATTGTCTGAAGACACTGAGAGGCTCCGGCTGACAAAAAGATGAGGTAGATGACCTTAATCATCATGTTCAACAATCAAAATAATCGGCACTTTCCACCGGTTATCATTCAATTAACTGCTAATTTAAAGATTGACTGATGGTACATTTTGCTAGGTTATACAAACTGTGGCAATTAATGCTGATCTGTATAAGCCAGAACTCACCATGATATATGGCCCCGGGGCCATATATCATGCAATCAACTGCAAGTTTTAAGATTAACTGATGGTACACTTTGCTAGGTATAATAATACTGGCAATTTATGCTAATCTGTATAAAGATGAATAACTGACGCTGAAATGACACGCTTATAGTATCTTAGTATCCTCCGTTCCACCCAGTGCCTCCTCCAATATAATCTTGATTGGACAACATCCTGCGGCATCCATCTAACCACAAGCCAAATTTAAGTGCCCCCTGAACCCTGACTATGATGAGCAGCAGCTGCTCTTCTGCTGTATTGGCTGCCCTTTCATGTGAACATGGACGGTGGGTCTCCTCTCCACGGTTGGTTGGGTTGCCATCCTGCAGCAGTAGCACGGCATCAATAGTAATTTCAATCAGTCAGGACCCTCGGTCTAAAATCCAACTCAGAACAGCACAAAAAGGCATTATATCACCTATACAACTGTCACATGGGGAGCATGCACACTCCATATTACTAGAGCACCAAAAAGAAACATAAAGCCACAACAATTGCACAACAACCCACCTACATCACTTGGGAAAGCTAACATTAATGTCAAGAGGATATCCTGAATTTTTTACCTAAAGAATTCAAAGTTTTAAAGCTTGAGTCTCAAGTAGTTTGAAAGGAAATCTACATGTGAAATTGTGGGAAAAGCTTCATCATCTGGCAGGCTCGCATATATGAATAATGTAACTTCACCCAAGAAAATATGTAATCAAGTAACGAGTGGAAGAGCAAAAATGCAAGCACTCAGTTGTGCATAATTTTCCTCCAAAGAAAGTGCATTAAGAAGCAGTAACAAATCACCAACAGAGTTTTATGTAGCTTGCATTTCTGCGGCATGCAGAAACTTCAGTAATTTACGGTGCTGAGCGTAGCAGATAAATGGGAACAAAATGGCTTCTAAAAAAGTTTACTTTTTTCCATACCTTTTCTTGATTTCTGATGACATGGTTAGGAAAGCTTCCTCCACGTTGATGGATTCCTTTGCACTTGTCTCAATAAAGGGAATTCCTAACGAATCTGCAAAAGCCTGCAATTGATTTGATTGTCAGGTTTAGGAAGAACATATAAACATGTACATCTAATTATCTATCAAGAATAAAACAGAATCGCAGTGATTACTTTCATTTTTTTTATCGAACACGGAATAGAGCTATGTATCATTGCATCAAGAAGAATGTATGAATACAACACACTCACACCACACCCACCCACCCGTACACACCCTCAGTTAAGCATACACGCCTTTGGATAAAAACAAATCATTGTACTTTCATAACAAACAGAGATTGCATTCTTCCCTTCGTTGTGTTAATTCTTGTTTGCTACTTGTAAAAGTTGTCTTAGTTAGCTGTTACCCAGCATCACAAATACGGCTAGTGTTTTAAAGAGCAGGATAAGAAAAAGGATCTTTACCTTTGCCTTTTCAGTGTCAACAACCTTACTGTCAACCAAATCACACTTGTTCCCAACTAGCAGCTTGCAAACGTTGTCACTGGCATACCTATCAATCTCACTCAGCCACTGCTTGATGTTATTGAAGCTCTCCATGTCTGTCACATCATACACGATCTGAAAAGAGCAATGCACAATATTACAAGTCCATACCAAGACTGGCACATTGTGTAAGGTCAAAAAGGAAAATTAACTACTTCAGTTCAATAACTAAAAAGGGTGAACTGCAAATCTATTCAAGCCATCCTAGCTCGCTGTCTTACATTGAATAAGTGAAACAGGAAACCAGAAAATGATTGTGTGTAAATACAGATCAGCGCGAGCTGCAAATGACGAGTTAAGAGGAATTACAATGATTCCATGAGCTCCTCGGTAGTAACTGCTTGTAATTGTCCTGAACCTTTCCTGGCCTGCTGTGTCCCACTGAACAGGAAACACCGACACCATTATCAGCAACTGGTGTCTGAACAAACATGAGTATATTTTGTAAAGCAATGTGTGAGCTAACACATCAGTGTCACCAAATAATTAGTAATCAATACCCCCAATTTCCAATTTCTAGATGCAATCCATCATGAGCAATCTAAGTACTGAAGCTATCTGATGTAAATCATTAGTATTTAGAAATCTCCTACCAAGAAAAATCAGGTAAATTACGTGCCATAGTTCTAAGATTTCCTATCCATCACAGCCCTACAAACACATTATCCCCACTTTATTATGGCCTGATGTTATTCCTACATCCAAATTGTGTTTGAACAAATTATGCGCAGGATAATAAGTGAAGGCACGGCAGAATGCATCAAATTGTGTTTGAACAATTCCTACATTCAAATTGCGTTTGAACAAATTACGCACAGGATAACAAGTAAAGGCATGACAGAATGCATCAAGTTGCGTTTGAAAAATGCTTCGAGGCAATTGACTATGATCTAGTATGATGTATAAAACCACATATTTCTGATACCACAGGACATGAATGAATCCAATTGTCTATGGCAAAAATAAATAAAAAGGGTGTGAATGAATGAGCTTACAATCTGTAGCTTGACAGTCTTTCCATCAAGGTCGACAGTGCGGATTTTCTGAAAAGCAGGGCATGATCGCAGTAAGTTGATGATCCAGGAATAATGAGTAGAGGCGTAGAGCAGTATATAGTAAGGACAAAGAGAGAGGGTGTACTGACGAAATCAACGCCGATGGTACTGATGTAGGTGTCAACGAACAAATCATCCTGTGTATACATGGATCAAAATCAAAGGAAGCCGCTTTTGTCAGGAGCAGAAGCAATCGCGTACGGCGTACCCAATCAGTAATTTGCAGGAACGAGGGGAAGCTTACAGCGAATCGTAGGAGGAGGCAGGACTTGCCGACGGAGGAGTCGCCGATGAGGAGCAGCTTGAAGAGGTAGTCGCTGCAACAGGAGGCGAACTGTTTATGTATCCCAGGCCCAGCAAAGTAAAGAAGAGAAAGAGTTGGATGGCGGAGAAGGCGGGACTTACTACTCGATGCCGCTGGCCATGTCGGCCTCGATTCGACGACGACGATGATGGTGTTTCGATGTGGGAGATGAAGAAGGGGAGGGGAGGGGAGGGGAGGGGAGGGGAGGTTTCTTTTTTTTTTGTTGTTGTCAACACAAGTGCGGAAGAAAGAAGGCAGGGACTCGGGGAGAAGCAAAGGAAAGGGGGCAAGTCTGCAGCTTTTCTTCCTCCGCTCGCCACGGCCACGGGTCGTCGGACGTCGGGTCAGCGGAGTTGGCCAAGTTAGGGCCGTTCTGGCTACGGCAGTGGCGCCGGCACCACCCGCACCCGCCGCACCCGCACAGGGGAGGGACCGGACGACCTCGGCGTCGGCTGCTGTGCCTCCTGCACAATCCAATGGTGAATTGGGAATCACCGGCCCGGCCCAGACCAGCCCAGACCAGCCTAGCCCACTGGTGGGAATTGGACCAAACAAAGCACGGTTGGGCCAAGAGCAATGGGCCTCCACCAACCGACCGACGGCCTGATGCCCTCCCAGTGTGCTCGCCGCCTTTACTCTTTTGCTGTGTGCTTAAACATTTGGGTTGATCAAGCACTGCACTACTGACATCCCTGCAAGTTTCATTTCCATGTCTCTGTCAACTCCATCACTCCATCTAATGTCGAAGAAACTCGACATCATCATATCATATTCATGGTTAGTGCCTCGTCTTATACCACTGCTCACATGTGCTTCATGACATGTGTCCTGCTATATACGTCCAGTTTTTTTTTTTTTTGACGAAACTGGAGTGCCGTAGCTCCTACAGAAATTTTATTGAAGAAGAGAAAAACAAGCTGTACAAGCATTACAAAAAAACAAAGACAAAAACAGAGACAGACAGCCAGAGAGGGGCAATCACAAATTACAAATTAGGGGATAAAGAAGGAGACAAAGAAAATAAAACAGAAGGTAGGACTTAGATCGTTTCTAAGGATGTTATCCATAGATCAAAATGCAAAGAGAGGCTTGATTTCACTCTCAGCTTCAGCAGCTTTACTTCTCTGAAGAAATTCCATTTACAGTCCTGTTGGCTAATTTGATTAGCCCTGAAGATCAACTCATTTCTGGCTGTCCAGATTGTCCAACACATCAGGATGATTGCTTCCATGGAAAACTGTGAGTCTAACTGATTCTTGATTGCATTGAAGTTATCAATGACCCCACTGTCTGCTAAGACCATCAAATTGATTAACCCCCAGCATTGCTGTGCGAATGGGTAGTGGAAGAATAGATGTTCAGCTGTTTCGTCAGTCCCTTGGTTGCAAAGCTCACAATTGTAGTCATCCAGGTTCATGTGTTTCCTTCTTAAAATGTTCCTTGTACTTAGTCTATCTTTTAAGAGCAACCAAGAAAAAACCTTATGTTTGGGTTGGCAGCAGCTTTTCCATATCCATTTGTAGGCTGGATCATTTGGGTGGTTCCCAATCAACTTTTTGTACATCTTTGATGATGAGAATTTGTTAGACCCCCAATTGTATTCCCATATATCTTATTCAGCTTCTAGGTTTGTTGCTTCCATCATCTGTTGGAGTGTTTGCACTTGATCAAAGGCTATTTGGGACAGGGGAAGGTTGAACATTTCAGTTACTGTATGCAAAAACTAAAAGCCTTGCTGACTGAGATTGATTTATTTTTAACAAAAGAGTAGCTTTCAGGGAATTCATGTTGCAAGATCTGGCCAAGCCATCTGTCCTTCCAAAACATGCAAGTTTCTCCATTCCTTATCTGAATAACTATCACTTCTTTGTAAGATGGTTGAAGTTTTAGGACATCGCTCCACTAGAATGATCCTTTTTTGTGTGACCCGGCAGCTTTCCATTTTTGTAATGTTTTTCCCAAACCATGTTTACCCAAGGGATGTCCCTTTTGTTGAAAAACTTGTCCAGATTTTTCATTAATAAGGCCTGATTTTGGGTTTCAATGTTAATTACACCCAGTCCACCTTCTTCTTTTGGTATGCAAACCATTTCCCATGCAGCTTTGGGTTGTGTTCTTCCATTGATGTTAGAACCCCTCCAAAGACAGTGTTTTCGAAATTTATCAATTTGTTTGATGACTGTCTTGGGCAATTCAAGAGAGCACATGTAGTACGTTGGCAGAGCTAAAAAAACTGCATTAGTGATCTGTAACCTGCCTGTCTGATTGAGCATTAAAGAGACTCCCCCAACCTTCTTTCACATTTATTTACTAGTGGAACAAAATCTAGGATTTTTGGTTTTGTTAGGCCCAGTGGCAGTACGAGGTATGTAAAAGGGAGACTTCCCTTGGAGCAACCAAAAGTTCTTGCCAGGTGATCCAACCTTTTATCTGAGATGTTTATTGGGAGCATCATTGACTTATTATAGTTGACCCTTAGCCCTGTTGAATCTGAGAAGTTCTGGAGTAGAGTTTTGAGGAAAAACAACTGATTGGGGTCTGCTTCCAGGATGATTAAGGTATCATCAGCATACTGAATCACTGGAAAGTCACAGGAGGACTGGAGTGGGATTGGCAATTTCAGCAGGCCCATATCTTTAGCTCTGTTGATTAACACTTGAAGGTAGTCAGCAGCAAGGACAAAGAGTAATGGTGACAGTGGGTCTCCTTGCCTTACCCCTCTTCTGCAATGAACTGTCTTACCAGGAACTCCATTCAAAAGTACTTGTGATGTGTCAGAATTGAAAATGTTCTTAACCCATGAAATCCATCTCTGACCAAAGCCCTGGGCTTCCATTATTGAGATTATTGCTTGGTGCTCAATTTTATCAAAGGCCTTCTCAAAGTCCAGTTTGAGAATTACAATCTCTTTCTTTGAGTGATGACAGATATGCAAGTATTCAATTGCCCAAGCTAGACAATCCTGAATTGTCCTAGATTTGATGAATCCATATTGATTTTTGTGAATCAGAGGTATGACAGCAGATTGGAGTCTGTTAGCCAGGATCTTGGTAAGCAGTTTAACTGAGGTGTTTAGGAGTGAAATTGGGCTATAGTCACCTACATGTCTTGGGTCGTCCACTTTTAGGATCAGAGTTATATAAGAGGAATTGATACTTCTTAATCCCACACTGTTGTTATAAAAATCCTGAATCATGTTTGATGATTGGGCATGCTGCTTTGGTGAACTCATTGTTGAAGCCATCAGGCCCTGGTGACTTGTTGGGCAAGGCTTTAACAGTTCTGTCAATTTCTTTCACAGTGAAGGGCTCCTCAAGGTGTTGCAACTATGTGCTTGAATTGATCAAAGCAGAAGGTTGGATGGTGAAACCACTGAATTATGAGATACCCAATCTTTGTCTAAATTCATCCCATAGAATTTGTTCTTTGTCCTTGTGGTTAGAGACTGTTATTTCTTCTAGGGTGACTAGTTCAGTGATCAGTTTGCTTCTATGTCTCACTGTTGCATTAGCATGAAAAAAATGTGTCCCTGCATCACCTAGCTGCACTCATTTGATGTTTTTCCTTTATTTCTAGTAATTTTTTTGTTTCTCTAATAGCTTCAGAAGATGATTATCCAACATTTCCTTGAAATTCCACTCACGCAAGCTTAGATCTCTAAATTCTTCCGGTACTTCGAGAAAGAGAATGATCAGCCTAACATTAGTGATCAAGGTTTTTAAGTTTGTCATAGATGCCTGCCACTCTCTTAATCTTTTTCTTAGAGCTTTGAGCTTGGCATTGATGTTCTTTGCACTATTAGTAAATCCAACTGTTTGGTTCCAAGTGCTTACCAAGATGTCCTGAAATTCTGCGTGTTTCAGCCAAAAATTTTCAAATCGAAAGATCTTGTTTTTTGGTATCACTGTTGAGACAGATACAAGACAGGGACAGTGATCAGATGGAACCATATCTAGGGCTTTTGCAGAGGTGTTGGGGTAGGAGATGATCCGGTTGCTAGAACTGAAAACCCAGTCCAACTTTTCAAGAAATGGTGAAGGCTGCATATTTGACCAGGTGAACTTTCTTCCTTGCAGTTTGATCTCATTCAACCCCAAAGTGCTAATTGGAGAGTTAAATCTGAACATTTCAGCCAGGTCTCCTCGAGGTCTGTTTCTATCCCCAGGTTTTCTGATCAAATTAAAATCCTCCAAAATTATCCATTCAGTATTTTTTGGCATCTGCATCTCTTTTAGTCAATTAATAAAGGAGATTTTCCCATCAGGTGTTCAGGGCCCATAAACACATGTGAGGATCCAGCTAGAATTATCATGTTTTGAACAGAATTGGAGCAGAGTCGCGGCGACCACTGCTACGACTGGTAGAAGGCTCTTCTCGGATGACGGAGTAGAGTCGCGCGGCCATTAGTGGAGACGCACAGCTCCGTAGGTTACTGCGCTGCTCGTAGTTTCGGTTGTTTACTTTTATGTAATATCGAAGTTTGAAACAGTCTGCTAAGAAGGTCCGGTCAAACTGTAAGACCTCCTAGGGCGCTCATTAGAAGCGTGTCGTGTGTATAGTTATACTCTTCTTCTTAATTACAATGTTTTGCGTATCCGAGAAAAAAAATGTTTTGAACAGAATTGGACAGAAATGGCAAAATCATTGGAAAAGATTTTCTCCCCATCAAAGATCATGCTTTTCCAGGCCACCAAAATTCCTCCAGATGCTCCAACAGAGGGGAGGAATTCGAAGCTATCAATGGCAGATGGACAAATTTTTCTCAGAAAAGATACATCAACAATTTCTTTTTTTCTCCTAAAGACAAACAATATCACAGAATGCATCATTAATCTTATTTCTAACAGGGTTCCATTTCCAATTGGAGTTAATGCCTCTCACATTCCAAGTCAAGATATTCCAGCTTTTGGTTGAAGTTTGATTCATTTTAATAAAATATAAGAGGATAGTCTGAAAGATGCATGCTTAACATACATCAAGAACTGAACAAGCATTGACTGTTTCACATGCACCAACAGCCCTTTAACTACTAAAAGTCTGGGATCCAAAATATTCTTACAAACCATGATTGACTTATCTTTACAAACACAAAGTTTCAGACTGACTGAACTATCACAAGAGTGAACAGATCCCCAAAAGAGACAACCCTTACGGGTCCAAAGCTTTGTTTCTTCAGTGTTCATTTTCAACATTGTCTTCCTGTCCTGCCTGCCTCCCTGTAGGCCCAGCTGCACCATCATTGTCTTGCTGCTGGTTCATCTTCTTTTTGCCACTGGTTCAGTCTTCTTCTTCTTGTTCATCAAAGCCTCATCGGTGACCTCCTCAGCATCCATCCCACAAAACTGAAAACCAAGGTTTTTTATTACTTTAACTGAAAGAGTTGGAGGAGAGGGAGTACGGCAAATGCATTTCTTGCTTGAACACCCTGATAATTTGAAACCATTGTTGTTTTTCTTTACCCTTTCACTTCTACGTACCTGACTTTCCACTATGGGTGTCAGCCTTCTTGTGGCCCTCCTCTTCTTGTAGGGTGTTCAGTACACCCTTGTTCTTTCCGTTGTCCAGTCCCATGGAGCTCTTAGCCTCTGTGGGCACATTATCAGAGCTGAGAACACATATTTTCTTATTTACAGGGCATTGTTTGGGGATTGAGAAGGAGACGTTACCCTGACTGTTGGTGATTTGAGCAATTGCTGGCGAGGACAGTAATTCAGTGGCCCAACCAAAAGTTTCTGGAGACAGTAACATTGATGTAAAAAAATATGACCAGTTGGTAGGGATTTTTGTAATGAAATCATCAGGGTTACCTTTGGTGAAGAACTTATCCCAGAGCTTTGTTGCCTCCGTTGCTCTGGTTCCCTCCAAAACCCTGGAAGCAATATTCTGCTGCAAAGATGGCATCAGTGCCATGCCAACCACAATGTTCTGCTCATCTGATTCTGGTATAATCTGCTGATCCTGGACCTGGACAGGCCCATTGTTTATGTTAATAGAGCCTTCAGACAGTTGATTCTCATTCATTTGATTCACAGGTCCCTGTGGCTACTGTTCATCAATCATCTGAATATCTTCATCAGCATGCTCAGACTGCTCAGGTTGTTCAGGAGAACCCTCATCTTCAGATCCCATCAATTGGTCTAGTGGGATCTCATCATCAAGATAGTTGATAGGTGAGACTGGTGGCCCTGCATTGATGTTGATGTTGAGATCTGGAGCCTCCAGCTGCATCTCCTCATCAACTATCTGCATGAGTTCTTCCTCAAGAGGGTTCAGGATATAGACCTCTCCCTGTGGTTGCAACAGATGCGGTCCATCTGAAGTCCATTCACATTTTCTTTAGGCATGACTGGGATAAAGATAACTGGGTGCAAATCTTGATTGATGTCCTGTTCTGGAGGAGGCAGATTAAGATTTAACTGTCCCTGCTGAATGTTTTCATTTAGATCTTGCATGGGCTGTTGTTGGGCCTGAATCTCAGCTGGCCACGGATCCCAGGCATCTTGCTGCTGGATACCATTCTGCTCTTCCTGATCATTGAGCCCAATCGCAGGCTGTCCAAGGCCAAAGAAGTCGAAAGGGAATCCCACCTCCATATCCACATCTTCTGGAACCGGATCTTCAACTGGGGGGCCCTGCTGCTGAGGATGATGCTGTAAAAACCTTGCATTGCACTGTCCAGGACTCACCATCAATTGTGTTAGGGTCTGAGTACACAATAAACTGAGGCACCTTTTCCAAATCGGTAACTCTGGCCCGCACAAGCAGTCGACAGCGGAAGCGATCATCAGCCTCCCAGAGAAGAACCCTTGCAAACTCTCCGACTACACTGTGAATGTGTCTCTCAGTCCAGTAGTCGTTTGGCAATCCGAACAAGAGCAACCAACATTCATGATTGAACATGGCTCTACACCAGTTGCGCCCTTCGTTATGCTTGGAGAAAGAGACAGTGACATCTCCAAAGACGTGAGGGCTCTCCGCAACAATGGTGTCCCGATCATAGGCCAGATTAAAGCGAACCAGAGCTTGCCCCAAATGCGTGGGTTGGATATCAAGAAATGCAGTAGGACGCTCAAATCGTAGAAAGTCTCTGAGGACGGCCCTTACCGCAGCGAACTGCATCTCGTTGGCCGGCAGCGGATTGAAGGTGGTGATAGCAAGGTCCTCGTCCCTTGCCGGCGGCCTCGTCAGAGCAACCGCGCGCACCATGAACACGCGATTGGGGATGTCTTCATGCTGCATTCCTTCGGGAACAAATGTAGTGGGGTCGGCGCGCTGGAACGCCATGTTAGCAGCGGGAGCAGGCAGAGCAAAAGGAAGCGGAGGCGTAGAGCGAGGAGGTGGAGGAGGGTTTTCAGGTAGCACTGTTGCCGCGCTTGGATTAGTACGGCAGGAATGACGAAGAGCCAAGCGTCCAAGAAGCAGGGTCGACAGCCAAATAAGAAGTAGAGCCAGAGATGGGCCGTGACCAAGGAATAGTAACAGGCGGCACCGAATTCACACTTGCCCAGGCTAGGCCCAAAGAAATGGATTTGAAAAGCTCCCCAAAGGAATTAAACACCGGCGGCTCAGATGCTGATGAAGGCCTATCAGCGCAAAGCGATTTGAAGAGCCCGGCGTTATTAGGGGCGGCAACTTTGCCCATAAATGCAGAAGATTGCTGTCTCAGGATGCCAGATTGCTGCCGTTGGTCTATTAGAGGCGCGACAAAGCGCAGCGATATGCCCCCAACCCATGCACGCGCGACATCTGATTGGGCGACGACATTTGACTCTGGGATGACCCACCGTGAGGCAGCGCAGGCAGGCCACAACCAACCGAGGAGAGCCGGCGTGCTGCTGGTTGAGAGGGCTAGAATTAATGTTGGCGACGCGTTCAAAGACCGAACGCCGAGGAAAGAGGAGGCGGTTCCTCATGGTTTTTGAAATTTTTGGCTTTCCAAGGGGTTCACGATTGGCACCACATCAGCAAAAGATTTTCTGGCCGCAGTGCTTCGGGCAGTCCAGGAAACCCGCTCCTCTTCTTGGAACGAACGAAACTCCATCTTCTAGTTCGGGCCGCCAGTGGCCCAGAGGTGGAAGAAGAGGGAGAAAAGATCACAGGAGAACGATCGCAAGTTGTGAATAAAGAAACCCACAGACTTGGATGGAACGAAGAATTTGAAGGTACGATCGCTAAGACACGAGACTTTGAAATGGGGGGCAGAGCCGCCAATGGTGGCCTGAAGAATGAGACTAACAGAAACAGGGTAAAGCTTGAACTTGCAACGGCCGAAGGAGACCACAAGCGCAAACGAATCAGGGCCTAAATCCGGCCAAGAGATCGGCCGTTGCAAACTACTCCAAACATCCGATTGAGCTTTACGACCCGGTTCAAACGAGAGCCCCGGGAACTCCATGGGGAAAGTCGGCGAGGACATCCCCATGGAGGACAAACACAAGAAGAAGACGAGAGCGGAGCTCGAGAGCTCAAGGGCAGGACTCACCGAAAGCGCTAGGTCCCGGCCAAGGGCCCCATCCTTGGCAAAGGGACGGGCGACGGCCGCCAAACAAGCACTAGGCCATCAACACCGGTAGCCGCTCAGCAAGGGCCCGCCTGCCAGGCATGGACGCCGCCGCCAGGCCCGAACAGCAACAGAGGTCGTCGGCGTCAGGCTCCAGAACAGGCCTGACCAGCAGCAGGATGACGACGAGGGCCGGGCGCGGAGGAGGGGAAGGGCTTAGAAGAGCTTCGTCCGCGCTTCCAAACCCACGCTCGGAACAACCGCCGGCGAAGACTGAGGAGTGGTCGGCGTGGTCAGAAGGACCAACGGCGATGGCTGGGGTGGACGCCGGGGACGGAGTGGCCACCGGCGGGAGGGAGCGGAGGGCTCAGCGGGGGCACGAGAAGAGGGAAGCCCAGGTGCCCACTCGGAGCTTAGTTTCCTCGGAATGAGGTCGCGGCCCTATATATGTCCAGTTTTTCATCTCATCTTCATCCATCCAACATGAAGGTGTTTTTGGATTATTCTTTCCAACATTTTTACGATTTTGTACAGCTAACACTATCTTCCTCCCATACATAAAAAAATCTGTGCAAGGCTTCGATACACTGCGGTAAAGGATGGAAACACGTGCTATTAGTAAACTATATGTATGTTCAGGCCTAGAGCTACGGCTACCCAAGAGTGTCTCACTAAGCACATGCTTATACGATGCAAGAACATCATGCATGCTCTACCACTCAAAACTCCAAGAAAACTAGGAACAAGCCACTGTCAACCATTATATTGCACAACGGGAATATAAGGCAATGGGGGTAACAAACAATACATGTCCCCCCATCTCTGTTTCAACCAACTGGACAACTGGTGACAGAGTTTCTCTACAGGTCCACAGAAGTGCACTCAACCAAAGAACCTCAAATGAGTATACAGTGAAGGCATTGCTTACGACTGTATGTAGTATATATACACATCATGTGTGTTACGGAGCCCAGAAATAGAAAAATAAATAAATAAAAAGGCTCACATTGAACTAAAAAGAGACTCTCAGAAACTGTCCACATCTGTTGAATCCTCCATTCCCACATAGTTTTGCAGTGACCTGGGAACAGGTGGGACATCGACGCCCATGACACCCTCCAGTATGTGAACAACCTGCCCCATCATCGGCCTGTGATCTTCAGCATCCTGAATGCACCAGCATGGGACTCTACAGGCTCTCTTTAGCTGCTCCTCATCAGCATCGCCCTCCAGCCTACTATCTAACAGACACATGACATCTCCTTCACTCACCTAAACTGCAGCATAGGTTGGAAAGTAAGTGAACATCCCTTCCTTGATTTTCTCCGAATTCCTTCGCCCTGATACGATTTCTAGAAGCATCATTCCATAGCTGTAAACGTCAGCCTTGTGTGTAATTGGTAGCCCTGAGATCTACTCCGGCGCGAGGTACCCGATGGTCCCTCGCATTGTCGTCAGGGCCCTGCTGAAATCTCGACCAAGAAGCTTTGCCATCCCAAAATCTGCGATCTTGGGACAGAGACCTGCGTCAAGAAGTACATTATCTGGCTTCATGTCACAGTGCACAATACAATCCTTGCATCCCTCATGCAGATAAGCCAAGCCGCGTGCAATTCCAAGAGCGATCGAGTACCGCTGCTCCCAGCTTAGCTTAGAGGAACTCCTGGAGAATAGGTGGTTACTCAAAGAACCATTTGCCATATATTCATACCAGGAACCTTCCACTGTCTTTGGCGCAAAACCCAAGTAGACGAACAATATTGGCATGCTGAATCATACCTATGGTCTCCACCTCTGCTCGGAATTGTTTGTCTTCCTGTCTCAGGCATTTTAGCTTCTTGACAGCCACTACAGTGCAGTCTGGCAACACCCCTTTGAAAACGCAGCCAAAGCCTCCTTCTCCAGTTTCTCGGAGAATGTTTTGGTTGATTTCCTTATTTGTACAAACGAGAATACCATGAGACTTCCATTGCCACCAATTGTTGTAGCCTTGAAAAGCTTTCTTCTGCATCTCAATAAAAGAATCAAACTAACAGCAAATACGGCTATCACACCAATCGCAGATCCAAGAACCACTCTTCTGAAAGAAAACAGTGGAGCAGTTCTAGAACCTGACTGTTGGTTGGTTGCTATGCGTATGTACATACGGTTGCCATTTGGACCGGAGTCAAGCACTACTGTATTCCGCAGCACCCAAAACCATAGTAAGCAACCTGTATTCAGCCTGTTCGTTTGTTGGTTTCAGCCAGGGCTTATCAGCCATAGTACAGTGTTTTCCTCTCACAACAAACCAGTACCAGCCGGGCTTATCAGCCCAGAAACCAACCAGCGAACAGGCTGATTGTAAGCAAAGGCAGTACAGGTACAGTCCCTTAAGCAAGAGGATTGGCACTCACTCATGTTTGCAGCTTCCAACTTCAAAGCATTCTGAGAATATGTATGGATGCCATCTATTGGATGAAATGCTACTTCGACACTCCCACAGTTTAGAGGGGCCTTTCTTGAACAACCAGCAGCAATCCATGCACTGGTCAATGGTGGATCAAGACCAACAGGGCATACACAAGAGCCTGATGTTGTGCAGAGGCCGTAAGGTCCACAATATGAATCAAAGTTGCATAAGCTATCTGGGGCAGACCATAAAATAGAATCACATTCCCCTTGTTTAAGAAATCTAATAAACCCGGATCTATTTAACTGTAGGTATGTGTGTTCGTCGTTGAATGTTAGGGCATAATCTAATTCTTCATGAATGTCCATCCATCCAGGGAAGGTACCAGCAAATGTCAGACCATCAGGATTCTGCTGGATAATAAAACCTCTCCTTCTAGTTGCATCCAGTGACACGGTATATGTAAGTACACTCATGCCAAAAGAATATGAATTAATAGTAAGCGTAGCATTCTTGCCGGTTATCCTATTGAATCCCAGGTATCCTCCAGGGAGCAGTATAGAAGTTGGGCAATCGAAACTCCGCCAAATCACTATGGAACTGTTTTCTTTGTCTCTTGCCACAAGATTTCCATTGTCAAGAAGCACTGCAACAGCAGAGATAGAAGCAGTCGTCATGTAGGATGATGAGGACCAAAACAAATAACCACCCGTGATCTGTAGCAATCCTTCCTTTGAGACTGAGAGGTTATATGGTGATGAGAAATAAGTACCAGGACCATAAGTATCCAGATCAGGATGCCAAACTGGAATATGATCAGATCTGCAAGATGATGAGTTAGCAAACCAGATGCTGAAACCACAGAAGTAATCAATATCATCTCCAGGGTTGGTGCAGTCAACACCCAACTTGAAGGCGCCATTTTTGGAGACTAAACTCTGGTTAGCATTCAGGAATTGTCCTGGAAGGAGGGTTTCTGTTGCACATACAAGGCTGATCATCAGGGAGGGAAGTAGTAAAACGAAGGGAGATGGGAGCAAGGACCTCCAATTGCTTGCCTTCTCCATTTCAGGGATACTCGGTCCTTGGGAGGCAGGCAACCGAATGACCAAATCATCGATGGCGTGTCTGGTTTCACAGAATAAAGTTTAGTCCACGTCACATCGAACGTTCGGATGCTAATTAGAATGACTAAATATGAGTTAATTATAAAACTAATTACACACATAGAGACTAATTTACGAGATGAATCTATTAAGCCTAATTAATCCATCATTAGCACATATTTACTGTAGCACCACATTGTCAAATCATGGGCTAATTAGGCTTAATAGATTCGTCTCGCAAATTAGTCTCAATTTGTGCAGTTAGTTTTATAATTAGTCTATATTTAATATTCTAAATTAGTGTTAAACATCCGATGTAACAGAGACTAAAATTTAGTCCGTCGAAACAAACACCCCCTCTCCTCATACGTCAAAGACTCAAGAGTGTGGTCACCTGTGTTTGGCTAGGAAAGAAGTCGATTTGTTCGGTTTATTTTTTTAGCCAAAACAGTATTTTTTTCTCACAATATTCTAATATAAACAATATTTTCTAGCATTAATATTAAATAATCCATACCAGCCGAACACTCAGACACCCACGGCACCAAAAGAAAAAAAAACACTTACGTGAGAATCTGGCATTACCTTATCATGATGGCAGTAGTAAGTCAAAGCTCGGGCCTATATTAATAACAAAAATAACAAGACGCTTTTGCGGGCGGCGAGGCATTTCGCCGAGAAAATTGAATATTTGACACCTAATCTGCACGCCCGTAAACATTTGACATTCAATTCACATATCGTTGAAAATTTAACACTCTCGATGCGAACTCGTTGAAAGCAGGTGCTTTCTCATTCTTTTCTCCATTCAATATTTTTTCTATTTTCTTTTGGCTTTCAAGGCAAGGCTGAATGATCAAAGTACCTGGGCCTTTATCCATCCATTTCTTCTAAGAACGAACGCATCTCGTACTCTGTCTTTGTCTGGGTGTCGCAGCAGCTGGGTCCCGTACTCTCCATCCTTTGCCCGCCACGCGCTGGGTGCAGGAGGCACCGCCGCTGGCTGGGCGTGCACTGGGCCAGTCGCGGGGTGCTGGGTGTGGGCCATGCGTTCGCGGGGCCGGTCACCGGTGCTAGACGAGCGGCCATGTGTGCGCGCGCCCGGTGCAGTGCTGTGAATTGTGCATCGGTGCAATTTGTGAATGATGTATATGAAGCCGATTTATGAACAATTCTTTTGTTGTGAGTGATGTATATGAAGCCGATTTGTTAAATCACTTGTAACCGAGTAATCCTGTAATGCAAGAAATTGAAGTAATGGAACCTGTTTCTTCTCAATTTTGAGATATGTTTAGGTGGTCTGAAATTCCAGCAACATATACCATTGACATATGTCATGAAAAATCAAATGAAGTAGTCATGACAAGCAAATTTGACCATACAGCCACAGTACCACATACATTACAAGGTTTCTTAGGAATTTAAGAGGTCCACAGTTTAACATAGGTAGAGGTATCATCTAGGTGCACATGTCCCTAGGAATTTAGAATTACAAAAGATATGACAATATTCTTAGATTGTCTCATGTGGCATAAATTTTTCCCTTCTTTGGAGTCAGCTTTTTGTTGATAGCTCTCTTTGTTGGAATTATCTCTAAATTATTCCAATCAATTCCCAATCTAAATTATCCCAATCATACATTGCAATCTTCACTCATCAAAGGGACTGCGCTACCAATCTGATCTTTTGTAAGTGGAATTATCTCTAAATTATCCCAATCAATTCCATGTTCAGCAGCAGGCTCAAAGCTTGATTGCACTGGTGCACTATTATTATCATTAACCACATTGCTCAAGATTTCTGTTGCTTCTGAAACAACTGAGGTTGCAACCAATTCTACAGGTTTCTCTTCCACATCAACATATAGAAACATCTTCTTATCGATCAGTCTTTCGGAGAAGGCAACAGATAAATCTTTATCATCCACTATTTTCCTTTCCCCACCTTTGCTCATATCAAATTCAGATATTACATGATGCTGGTTGCTCCCCCACTTGGCCCTAATTGTCAGGTCCTTTTCTAAGTTCTGCAAATTATAATAGCGATAGTCCACCACCCATTCGTCATATTTGCGCTGAACATCAACTGAGTTAGCATTATCTAGTTTTACTGTGAAAGGTGAAACCTGAACACATAGTTTAAATGCCCCATCCGGATCGACCCTACCGAGTTGAAAAAAGAGAGAGAACATAACCATGAGCATCAGCCATGCTTCTCCCCCAAATCCAAAAAAGCAACCTTGGAGAGGACAGGGGAGGGATAGGGATCTGCGTTCTTACCCTGAGGGGACCTCGAAGGGGATCATAGCCGACCTGATCCAGCCACCCAAAGCTCCTCCTGTAGTCCGAGAACCCTAGCAGCTTCGGTTCACTCGTGAGAGAGAGGAGGCAATGAGAGAAACAGGAGAGAGAGAGGCAAGGAATACAATGCTTCTCATCCAGCAGATACGTTCCATAAAAAGATAAGGCTAATGGGTACTTTGGTCATTCAGCCTTGCCTTGAAAGCCAAAAGAAAATAGAAAAAATGTTGAATGAAAAAAAGAAGGAGAAAACATCTGCTTTCAACGAATTCACATCTAGAGTGTTAAATTTTCAATGACGTGCGAATTATATGTCAAATGTTCACGTGCGCGCACGTTGGTGTCAAATATTCAATTTTCTCCGTTTCGCCGAACACCTTCCGCTCGCTCGTCAGCTTCCCCGGCGCGTCTCGTCTGACTGACTGACGCCGCTGCCAGTAAACCGTACCAACCAGTGAACCATCTCGCCTCGCCTGATTTTTTTTTTGGACTCTTTCGCCATCTTCTGTGGCCAGCCGGCATCCATGGAGCCGCCAGCACCAGCAGGCCACGGCGCCCTGTTTGAGCTGACAGCTGACTAGCTGAGCGTGTTGCCTTGCCGTGTCGGGGAGCTGAGCTGAGAGACGCCAAACGGAATGGCGAAAGCGACCGGCCGCGCGGCGGGCAGCAGGAGCTGCATCTAGAGGCTGCCTGCGCCCCGCGCCCAATCCTCTTCGGCCTAATCCCCTCCGCCTCGTCCCCCTTCAACCCCACGTCTCTCTCGCCGAAGGCTCCGGACTTGGCCTCGGCCTCGGGAGCTGGTGCTGGTACTGGATCGACACAATGGCGCTGCTCCACGCCGCGCTGCCGCCGCCCTCCGCCGCCGCCGCCGCTCACCACCACGCGGCAGCCCCGCCTGTCTTCCTCGCCCGCTCGCCGTACCACTCCCGCAGGGCGGCGGCCTCCTGCTCGCTCGCCACCGCCGCTCCCTCGTCGAGAAAAGGTAATCTTTCTTCTCCTCTCTTCGGCACAGCGATGATGATTACAAATATATAGACAAGAAGAAAGGAACTTGGTGTTCTCCTGATTTCTTGCCTCGTCGCGCTGCCCGGCCCGCTGCCCAGCGTTCCTGTCATGCCCGGCGGACCACTGGACCACGGCCGCGCCGCCGCGCGCCATCCCGTCGTCGTCGTCGTCCCCGGCGCTCATCGCGTCCGTGCAGGACCTGTACGACTTCATCTACAGCGGCCCGCTGGTGGACAGGATCGGCTACACCGATGAGAAGATCGCCGAGTCCATCGACCGCTGGCTTCTCGCCGGGGCTCGGTTGGCGCGCCTCTTCCGCCTCAACGAGCTCCAGCTGTCGGAGGCCGAGAAGGCCCGGATATACCACTTCTACATCCCCGTCTTCCTCTGGTGCGAGGACCAGGTCATGGAGCACAGAGCCAAGTACAACGACGATGATGACATCCCACCATTGGTGGTACGCACTCCACCTCGTGTCCTCATCAAAATTTGCTTTTTTTTCATCCCATGTCAGTTAGAACTATGCAATCGAGCTCATCAGAGCAGCAGCAACGTAGTAACGTAGGCAGCATCAAACGTTGGCCTCAACAAAAAGCTACAGACTAGAATCCACGTAGAAACAGATAAATTGAGCAATGGCAAACGCAGGCAACAACTTCCAGCTTTATGGCGGGCCCACCGCTCTCTCCTTTCTCTGTCTCCAATGCTCTGCTTTTCGGAGGAATTCTTCGCCACAACGCACTCTGGCTGCTGCTTCTGCTTTGCGAAACCACCGGGCAGAAGTCCAGCGTGTTGCGTTGGGCCTGACCTACCACTACACTCGTTCGCTATGGCTTGAGATAGAAGAAGATATTGAAAACACCTCACACACACAACATAAGTCCAGCGCTGGTCGAAAGCTCCGCTTCTGGATGTGACAAACTAAACTGATTTGTTGTATTGCCTTTCGATAGAATATATACAACTCTAGTTGTACCTCTATCAGGTACATAGTTGTTGGTGAGTACACCAACTACCTACTACCGGAGTATAAGAGTACACCAACTACCTACTCCTAAGGTACAAGAGTACACCAACTACCTACTCCTAAGGTACAAAGCTTAGCTCAGCCATCTCCACTCTACGTGACTGAAGTAAACTACTACTACCTTACTGCTACAGCTACAGGAGCTTGATGTCAATGTGCTTGCTCCGGTCGTGGAGGATAGGGTTCTGGGCGAGAGCGATGGTGGGCTAGTTGTCCACCATCAGAGCTGGTAGGCGAGCTTCCTCGTCGGTCAGCTCGCCCAGCAGCCGGCGCAGCCAGACAGCTTGGCACGTCGTCGTAGCCGCTGCGATGTACTCCGCCTCACACGTCGACAGCGCCACGATCTTTCCCTTCAGCGACTGCCAAACAATGGGGGCCGCTCCAAAGAAGACGAGCACGCCGGAGGTGCTCCGTCGCCCATCAATGTCGCCCGCCATGTCCGCATCACTGAAGATAGTGAGCTCCGGCTCACCTTCCTTTGCCTTGGGGGTGCCTCACTGAAGACCGTGAGCCGCAACCCACCCTCACCGTCACTCTTGGGGAAGATGATTGTTTGATCGAGCGTCCCCTTGAAGTAGCGCAACAACGTTTTCACTGTCGACTAGTGATCTTCGCGTGGGTCCTCCATGAAACGGCTGACGTACCTAACCGCGAACGCAATGTCCGGTCGGGTACGAGTGAGGTAGCGCAGCCCGCCGACGATGCTCCAGTAGCGCGTCGCGTCCACCTTCGCAGCAGTGCTGTGCTTGCTCAGCTTTCGCCGCTCCTCCATCGGAGTCGCGCATGGCTTGCACTCCGCCATGCCGCCGTGCTCCAGCAGCTTCTCCGCGTAGGCGCGCTGACCCATGGAGATGCTCTGCTTCCCCTGCCTCACCTCGATGCCGAGATAGTAGGAGAGCGCGTCGAGATCGCTCATCTTGAAACGAGCCGTCATCTCGCGCTTGAAACCGTCGATGTCCTCTGCTCGCGCTTCGGTGACGATTAAGTTATCCACGTACACGCCGCCGCCGAGCTCCTCCTTCCCCTGCCGCCGCGTGTAGAGCGCGTGCTCTGTAGCGCAGCGAGTGAACCCAAGCTCGCCTAAGGTGGCGTCGAGCTTGGCGTTCCACGCCCGAGGGGCCTTCCGCAGCCCGTAGAGCGCTTTGCGCAGCTTGAGCACCTTGTGCTCAGCACCCTTGATGGCGAAGCCCGGAGCTTACTTGACGAAGACTGTCTCCGTGAGCTCGCCGTTGAGGAACGCAGACTTGACGTCGAGGTGTTGGACGCGCCAATCCTTCGCTGCTGCCATGGCCAACAGCAAGCGAACGAACTCCATTAGCACCACCGGAGCAAAGACTTCCTCGAAGTCGATGCCGTCACGCTGCACGAAGCCGCGGGCGCCGAGCCGAGCCATGTACTTGACAATGGCGCCGCGCTCGTCCCGCTTCACCTTGTAGACCCACTTCAAGCCGATCGGCCTGCAGCCCACCGGTGGGTCTACCAGCTCCCATGTGCCATTGTCCTCGATGGCTTTCATCTCTTCCAACATCGCCCGTCGCCAATTGGCGTCGCGTTCAGCCACTGCAAACGTCGGTGGCTCCTCGACACTAACAAGGAGCAGCTCTAGATCGTCGAGCAGCCGACTCACCAGGCCTGTGGCCCCTGCATTGCTGACGATGTTGTCCAGCCTACGGAACCGCACTTCCTCGCCATCGTGGAAGGCATTCACGAACTCGCTGATGTCTCTTGGAGGGGAGGTGAACTCGATCGGTGGTCCCCGGCCTCCCTGTTCTGCCTGAGTGGTCGGCATCGCTGCTGGACCGCTCGGCACCACTGCCGGAGTGGTCAGCATCGCTGCTAGACCACTCGGCACCACTGCCGGAGTGGTCGGATCCACTGCTGGAGAGGTCGGCACCATTCCTGGAGTGGTCGGCTCCACTGCTAGAGCGCTCGGCACTGCTGCTGCTGACAGAGGAGGCTTCCACGGACTTTTTCTCCTTCATTCGGACAACCCACTCCTCCTCTGTCAGCAGCAGCTTGCCGCTGTCCGTCGTTGCTGTGGCCTGCTCCATGCGCTCGTCTACCGCCCGCAGACGGCCTGTCACATCCTCAATGGTGAGGGTGGACAAGTCCAGCATCGTCTCTATGGAGAGGGCAATCTGGATGTACTTCGCCGGCACGGAGTGGAGATACTTGGAGACCGTCTTTTCTTCGTCGATGGTGACACCATGGCTCCTCAGCTTGCTGATGAGCGTTTGCATGCGGAGGGAGAAGTCCTCCACCAACTCACCATCCTTGAACTTGAGGTTGGCGTACTCCTGCTTCAGCAGATGGGTCGTCGCCTTCTTTGCGCAGTCGGAACCGACGCGTATCGCAGCAATGGCCTCCCACATCTCCTTAGCAGAGCTCTTCGTCCCCAATGGCTCCCTGTACTCCGCTGGCACAGTAGCGAGGATGGCTTCCAACGCTGACATGTCGTCTTCTTCGTTGTCGGTGTCCTTGTCAATGGCATTCCAGAGCCATCGGGCTCTGAGCTTGACCTTTATGGTCACCGCCCATTCATCATACTTGGTGCGAGTCAGCGTCGGTCAACTGGTGCTGCTGACCTCCCATACCGTGTGCACAACGACCTCCTGTCGTGGCTGGGCAGCCACAGCAGCGCCGCTGCTGTCGCCCATCTCTAAACCGTCCGTCATCGCCAGCGGTTAGTCCGGCGACGGCGCTTGTACGACTCTGATACCACTTGTTGGTCCCTCGGCTGCCCTGCACAGGTAAGCAATAAGCTTACCAGCACACTCACTCACTATAGCTAGATTTAGAAGAAGATATTGAGAACAGCTCACACACACAGCACAAGCCTAGCGCTGGCTGAAAGCTCTGCTTCTGGATGTGGCAAACTGAACTGATCTGCTGTATTGCCTTTGGATAGAATATATACAACTCTAGTTGTACCTCTACCAGATACATAGTTGTTGGTGAGTATACCAACTACCTACTACCGGAGTACAAGAGTACACCAACTACCTGCTCCTAAGGTACAAGGGTACATAAACTACCTACTCCTAAGGTACAAAGCTTAGCTCAGCCATCTCCACTCTATATGACTGAAGTAAACCACTACTACCTTTCTGCTACAGCTACACGAGCTGGTTGGCAGAGCCGATCAGTCTCTAACTCCCAACAGAGAGTGGTCGGCCGAGCCGACCATTCTCCAACAATGGAGAAACGGGAGCAGCAGATTATGTCTTACAGCCTCAGCACACATTTCTGTCACACAACTCTGTCCTTTACCAATGAGGATAGAATCCAAAGGGCTCATGTCATGTTCCACTACACTATCCGTGCACAAGAGAACATGCATGTTCTTCTGAATTATGCGTCCACCACACACATGACACACTTGATGCTGCAAAATGTATATATAATGAAAAAGAGCATATACTGCCCATGAGACGGACTTAATGATGAAGAAATGTACGCCTGATCCCACACCTGATGGATCGAGAAAATCACTAGAGATACTTTATACAAAACAAGATGAGATGGGAAGTCTGATTACAGAGTTTACAAGAATGAACAGCTTAGCAATTTCAGTTCACATTTGATAAATTAGTCATCTTTATATGTAACGCAGATTGGGGTCAGCGCTCCCCAAGGAAGTGGAAAGACGACTCTTGTCTTCGCACTTGATTATCTTTTTCGGGTTGCTGGTAGGTGAGTTCTTCTTATCGAAGCTGATCATAGTGCGTCCGTTTGCTTGTATGAATTGGATCTAATAGCCAAACTTCTGTGTGACACAGGAATTCTGTCACATTGTCTATAGATGACTTCTATTTGACAGCAAAAGAACAGGTGTGAAGCTTCTAGTAAATACGGAAAAAATGTCGGCCATATATTCAGAAATATTCTTTTGTTTTTTCGTGAGAGCGAGTGTTGAAATAGCTGACACTTATGTTTTTTTTTTCTATGTCCAGAATGAACTGAGGGACAGAAATCCTGGAAATGCTCTTTTAGAGGTACAAGCTCCCTCACTCCAGTAGGCTGCTAGGTTGTGATTTAATTTGAATTTTGTAATAGAAGGTGAACTGAGAATTACTGACGAAAACTTTCCAGCTCCGTGGAAACGCTGGAAGCCACGATCTCCAATTCTCAGTTGAAACACTTGAGTCACTGATCAAACTAACAAAGGAAGGTACCAGTTCAGACAAGTATTTCAACCTTCTTCGAGCTATTTCTGTTTCTTCTTGATGAGTTGTTCATTGGGCCTCTCTTCTTTGCCTTTTTGGAAATTGTTATAATGTTTTGCATCCTTGTAAAATAGATTTTAGTGAACTGACAGTTGTTTTCACAATATCCTAGGTATGAAGATGAAGGTTCCACGGTATGACAAGGTAAAAGGTTGCAGTTAACGTTCCTCTAGCTGATGTTTATAGCTGATCAGCTGCATGATACATGTCATGTCCATGTAGTCTGCTTTTGGGGGAAGGGGTGACCGGGCTGATCCTTCTGTATGGCCAGAGGTTGAAGGGCCCTTAGAGGTAATATAATATTTAATTGAGGAGCATTAGTTTGAGAAATATGTGATTCTCAACTTATAGCGTATCTTCTTTGATGTGCTAGGTTGTTCTGTTTGAAGGATGGATGCTCGGATTTAAACCTCTTCCAAATGAAGAAGTGAAAAAAGTGGATCCACAGGCAAGTTTCTAATCTGATTTTGTTGTTTTTGTTTATTTTACCTGCAGTAATAGTATGACACTAATTTTGTGATCTTTCAGCTTGAGGTGGTTAACAAGAACCTTGAAGCATACTATGGTGCTTGGGACAGGTTCATCCAATCATGGATTGTTATTAAAATAAGAGAACCAAGTTGTGTATGCCAGTGGAGGCTGCAGGTCATTACTCGAATAATCTGACAAAGTGGCACTGTTGAACTCATAACAAATCATGAGTTGAAGTTTCTGAGTTTGGTATGTGATTTGCAGGCAGAGGTAGCTATGAGAGCAGATGGAAATCCTGGAATGTCTGACGAGGAGGTGTGTTATCTGACAAAGCTATTCACTCCTTAGAATAACCCCTCTGTTATGGTAGTGACGTTCTTTGTTGGAGCCTTACTGATGGTTGTGTGATGTGGTTTCTTCGGTAAATTATTTTATGTGACATCCATTATATCTACACATTTATCCAGCGACTAACTTTAGTTTTTTTTTCCAGAGCTATTGATAATATCTACAGAACTATAACAGTGGTAATTCTTGCAGGTTATGGATTTCGTATCACGGTACCTACCAGCATACCAAGCATATTTGCCCACACTATACAAAGAGGGACCAAATGGTTCGAATCCAGACCATCTGCTGGTCATCGACATAGATGAAAATAGGAATCCTATTTGTGGTGGATCATGGGATGTCGCATGTTTGTGAAACTACTTTTATGCCCATCAATAAACACCACTGGCCTCTTCTTTCCCACACTCTAGTTTAAATCTGTGAATTTCATGTAAATTGATGTCTATTGCTCCCTTGTTACCCAATTGTAAATATACGGCCTATGCTTGGCCTGCATTTTAAGTCAGTGACTCAATTCAGCATGTAAATAAATTTCGCTCCTGTCTGGTGAGGTACTCCCTCCATTCACAAAGCTTAAGCACTTTTTAATCTGGCATGGTTTTTAACTTAACTTTGACCATAAGTTTCTTATGATATATTGTTCCTAATTACAAAAATCGCATCGTATAATTAGACCTCGGGAGGGGCATGTGTCCTCTGTAATTCTGTAGTGAGATGTGTATTTCTGAATTTGCAAAGTCTGGATAGGAGTAGTAAATAAAGTTTGGAGCACAAGGGCCACGGAGCACGGTGCACAACGGTCAGCAGGTCAGGTAAATTTCTCCATAGATACTGTACATGCTTGTAGGAATTCAGAGAGAATAGTAAGAAGCATGTCATTGAGAATGTTAAGCAAGGTTTCCCTGCGTTCCAAATGGAGTGCACATCCACAGTAAAGGACGATGCTGTGGGCCTATATCCCCCAAGCTCAAAACCTAGCAAAGCAAGTCTCTGCATGTGGCAGCAGTAGCATCTGCAGCGAAATTTCAGTTGATCATTCATAGCAATCAATGGTCCTGTTTGGCTGGCCGAAAAAATAGTTGATGCTGATGCTAATTTGTTGGGAGAGAAAAACAATTTTATTTGGAAGAAAGAGAGGCAACATCTTTAATAAATTTTCATGCTAAAAACAGCACAAAAGGCGCCAAAACCAGAGGGAAGGGAATGGAAAAAGGCGTGACCCTGACTAGGCTCCTGGCGACCAACCGCTCTTTCGGTCTTCTCTTTCCTCTCCAACAAACATAGGCCCCCTTTTTTGTGCTTGTGTTTGACCCAACCAAATCCCAAAACCAGCAGGCAGGAGCAGGTGCACGCACAGCACAGCACGGCAACTTCTATTGCTTGTCCCGTCCTGCTCCTCTTCCACCTCTTCCCTCTTCCTCTTGCGCGTCGCCGCTACCAAATTCCAAACCGCAATCCCGCCGCAATCCGCTCCCTGTGCGCGAAATCGGCTCACGCGTCCTCCGCTTTTCGGCACACGGGTCGCTGAATTGCTCGCCCTGCTCGCTCGCTGACTTCCACTCAACTGCTCGCCTGGCCTGCTGCTGCTGCTTCAATCAATCCACAGAGTAGGGGACGTCGGCTCGCTCAAGGCTGCTGGAAGCTCGGCCCCTTCCGCTCGCTGCTAGCTGGCTGCACAGATCTTCCTCCCAAGGTTCCTCTTCCTCCCGTCGAATCGAATTCTTCCTCAAATTCCGAGTCTTTGGCCGCCCGGAGCTGCTCCGTCCGGTCCGGGTTCGTCAAGATCTAGGCAGACTCGGCAGCGAAGCGCTTTAGGGTTCCCGCGAGCGCCCTGTGATGTTCGGGAATGGCGCTTAAGGCCACGGCGCAGGGCGCCGCGGAGGCGGCCGTAGCGGCCATCGGCCGGGGCTACGACGTCGTCTCCGACGTCCGCCTCAAGTACTGCAAGGGCAAGCTCGCGGACCCGGACGCGCGCCTCATTGACGTCTCCCGCGATGAGGTCCAGGACGTCCTGCTCCCCGGCGGGATCAGGGTCGCCGCCGTCCCCAAGTCCATCAAGTGTGACAAGGGCGAGCGCACGCGCTTCCGCTCCGATGTCCTCTCCTTCCAGCAGGTTGATTCTGATTTGATTCTTCTATCTACTATAAAGCGTTGAACATACTACTGTCATTGCTTTGGTTCATGGATGACCACTACTTTGTTCAGGAGAAAATTCTGAACCAACCAAGAAATGTACTTTTTTTCTGCAGATGTCAGAGCAGTTCAACCGGGAGCTATCATTGACTGGGAAAATTCCTTCCGGCATGTTCAATAGCATGTTTGATTTTTCCGGGTGCTGGCAGAAAGATGCAGCTAACACCAAGTCACTTGCTTTTGATGGTTGGTACATTTCGCTATACACCGTGGCGCTATCAAAATCTCGGATCCTACTGCGCGATCATGTTACTCAGGCAGTTCCTTCAACCTGGGATCCTGCTGCTTTGGCAAGGTTAGACACTTACTCTTACCCTCCTATGATGATGCCATAAGACCATATTGTGATTGTGTTTAGGACCCTACCTATACCTACATTCATGTATCTTTTTTGTCCTTTGGAGTTTCTCAGCTAAATGTTTAATTGTACAAGTCGACATTGCAAAGGAATATACCAGTTATAATGCACCTGAACTTTTGATTCTTGCTGCTTCACTTTCCAGATTTATTGACAAGTTTGGAACGCACATAGTTGTTGGTGTCAAAATGGGAGGGAAAGATGTTATCTATTTGAAACAACAACATTCATCAAGCTTGCAACCAGCTGCTGTCCAGAAACGACTCAAGGACATGTCGGACATGAGATTTCTGGATGCAAACGGACAGTATGACATGAGTAACAAGGACGCGTATGGGAAGGACAAGGTACTCTCCTACTCTGCATTTTGTTGTTGTTGTGTGTATTCCAAGCAATCAGCAAATATGCAGAAATCTGCTTGTAAACCTTACTATTGTAGTTTTGATAAATGATTGTTAAGTTTGTGAAAACTGCATGATGATCAGTGTTTCCTGTCTTTCAAAGACGAGTCTTCAGTAATTTGATGTAATGTCCTGTGCAGCACGATGTGAGAGACCAACGGCTAAGATTTGTGGAATCAAGCCCATCAAGTTCATACTGTTCGAAGGAGGTATTGAGTTTTTCTTTTCTAGGAAGTGTGCTTATCACTTTTCCTATTCATGTAACTCCTCTCTTGGTATTTCAGGACTTGGTGATGGTGGTTAAGCGGAGAGGTGGAAAGGAATGGGACAAAGATATGCCTCACAGTGAATGGATAAACACTGTTCAATCAGAACCTGATGTTATCTCAATGTCCTTTTTACCTATTACGTCGTTGTTGAACGGAGTACCTGGCTGTGGGTTTCTGAACCATGCAATTAATCTATACCTACGCTGTAAGTTTGTCTTTCACTTCCCATTCATGTGACTGAGCATCCCTTTGTTAATTCATTTTCTATACAGCTAATCGCTCATGCCCATTAATTTTATCAAATTGCTAGTATTCGGCACAATCTAGATGCTGTTACATGAGGAAGCTTAGACCATTGGCAATGTATATGGTTGTATGTCATGCATGCTTTCTGATCTTTGGATTGCCTTGTTTAGAGCTACTGCTTGCTCAGTGTGTCACTTGATGCTTGGTATAGGTGGAAAGTTATGACGTAGCATGCCTTCGTTGATGCTTGAAAGACTGTAATGTCTGTGAAAGGGGAAAAACACCATTAAATTCAACAAGCTGCACAGGAATTTGCTACATAACATGTTGATTTGTCTAGTAGGTTCATATTATGTGTTGCATGCAGTTTACAAACATAAAAGTGGATGATAGATTTATTCAATGTGTTGCAGATAAGCCTCCGATTGAAGAACTACATCAATTTTTGGAGTTCCAGCTACCAAGACAATGGGCACCTGTGTACAGTGACCACCCTCTTGGCCCTCAGAGGAAGAAACAGAGCAGTGCATCTTTGCCCTTAAGTTTTATGGGACCAAGGCTCTATGTCTGCACTAATATGGTATCATTATTCTTGTGGCTTCATCAGTTTATACTTCATACATTGTCACTCTGCATGATTCTATTGTTTATACTTGCAAGTAGCCATGAAGTGCTTCTATGTAATGTAACGAGGAAAAAAAAACAAATACCTTCGTTAGCATTACAAAATTAGGTTCTAACAAAAAAGGTGTGGAAATAATCTCTAGTAAGTAGTTCCATGTCATATTTCTGCTAAAGAAATGACAATTCAGTAGAGAAATGTAAGCTGTTACTTTGTATGGGTTGTTGACTGACTCCACGTTGTCAGACCTCACGTAGTCATTTAAGAAGCTTTGGTGTCTGGTTAGAAGTTTTATTCATGCTGTTTCCTTGCATGTTTCGTGGTATTTGATACAGGTTGATGTGGGTGAAAGACCTGTTACTGGAATTCGGTTGTATCTTGAGGGAAAGAAGAGCAACATGCTGGCCATCCACCTTCAGCATCTATGTTCGCTGCCTCAAATCCTGCAGCTCCAGGATGATCCATACAACCACCGAACTCCAGAACCATATGACCACAAGTACCTGGAACCATTTGGATCCTGGAAGCGTTTCTCTCATGTTTACACGGCGCCAGTGGAGTCAGACGACGACTCCTCAATCGTGACCGGGGCACAGCTACATGTGAGCAGCCATGGGTTGAGGAAGGTCCTCTTCCTCCGCCTCAATTTCTCCAAAGTCAGCAATGCTGCGCTTGTCAAGAACCCCGAGTGGGAAGGGTCGCCGAATCTGGGGCAGAAATCTGGTCTCATCTCGACGCTCATCAGCACGCATTTCTCTACGGCGGCTCAGAGGCCTGCCCCTCGCCCTGCAGATGTGAACATCAACTCGGCTGTGTACCCAGGTGGTCCGCCAGCGCCTGCGCAGGTACCAAAGCTTCTCAAGTATGTGGACACAGCAGAGATGGTGCGCGGACCGCAGGACACGCCAGGATACTGGGTGGTCTCTGGTGCCAAGCTGCAGCTGGAGAGGGGCAAGATATCGCTGCGGGTGAAGTATTCACTCTTGACAGCCATGGTACCTGACGATGAGTATCCACTTGATGAATGAACAGAGTTGAAGCTCATTGCCTCAAAAGGGGGCTAAGCTAATGTGCATTTGATCATGTGGTGCATTGCAAGTAAAGAGTTTCAGCATGCTTCTTAGGAAACCTGACTTGTTTGTACATCGCTTGTCTTTCAATTATGACCATTTTCTCGGCAGATCCGGCGGCTGTCCGTAGTACAATCTTTGAAATTAAATTTGTTTTGCGAAAAGGAGTACACTACATTTTTTTGTATATAAACATGTATTCGCAACGCAACGAGGTGAAAACAATGGTCGCCTTGCTTGTTCTTGACATTCTTTTGAACAACATTCTTAAACATTACATTGCCCTCATTGGTTGCCTCACCAGGCTACCATTTTGTTCTGCAGCAACATAGCTATTCTCGGGTTCCTGTTTCTAACAGGCTCGCTCTAAGATTGACTCTAGCATGGATCACCAAAAGAACAAACTCTGGAATCCGAACTCTTACACAGTAATAACTGGATCTCAGGAATATATCAAAGTAACCATGTTTCAGGAAACATAAGGTGTCAAAATCGCATGAGGCTGTATTTACCAGCACATCTATGCTTCTACGCAAACACTTTATAACAATTATAAGCAGTTTCAGTTGACCCCATATATAGACACATGTCAGATGCAAATCGTTCTGTGAAGGACTGTCAGACTGTCAGTGCCTTCAGCTAGTTCACTGACTCATCTTGATCTTTATTTCAGTTGTGCAGTGCAGTCATCTATATTTTGTATTACTCCCAATTCTCGAACAAACTCCAACTCTCCATGCTTCCCTCCAAGTTTTCCTGCAAATTAGGAATATCAGAAAATAACATATAGCAAAAATATTAGAGTAGGTGCTACACACACAGGATGAGGGTAATACAGACAGCAGAGTTCAGATTCCTGGCACCTGGCCCTCTGGCTTCAGGACCAGATGATTTCTGACCGAATTTGAACCTGCATGCTTATTTTCTTTATTTCGGATAGACCGCCAGCGGCTGCATACAGGCTGCGTCTTTCTAAGAAAAGGGGTGTGCAAATCATCTATTTCATATTCAAAGATGCTACGCAATGCTACACATGATTTGCAGAATGCATCCAGTTCTATTATAAGGAACTCAGGTAACAGAAGGTGCCCTTTGTCACAGCTTCACAGCTCTAAACACAAATATACATACCATAGGTTTCAAGTCATCAGAGCATCGAGCTTCATATGTCGACTCTGAATTTCCTCTCTTTTCAGCACGGCGTGCATTAGCTTTTTCTTCATAAAAATCAAAATCATCCAGAATTGATGTTCCCTGAGGATGATCCTTGAAAATTTTCAACATTTGCACACCTTGTGGCAGCCCGATCTACATAAAAAATTATGCCCTAAAAACATATGATGAGAAAGCTTTTGATGTCTATTAGAGCATTCATAATCAAAAATGGGAAAACCTTAGAGCATTTCTATAAACCTTCTACTATCCTGCTTGAAAATAATATTAGTTAATGCTTTTAATGTAAAATCACCAAATAATTCATTACTTTTCATAAAACAGATTCTTTTTAGCTTCTATGTTCTCCCAATCCCCAACGTTTCCTGCTTGAAAATAATATTAGTTAATGCTTTTACTGTAAAATCACCAAATAATTCATTACTTTTCATAAAACAGATTCTTTTTAGCTTCTATGTTCTCCCAATCCCCAATGTGTTAATATAAGAAAATAACCTCATTTGCAATCTTTATTTTTCTTAGAACAGGGGTATCAGAAATTCAGAACGATAAGCTAGAAGCTTGATACCTCCTGCGTGTCCCTGCTAAAAGTAACCTGCCTGTTGTCATTGTTTTCAAGAATTATATGTTTGAACAACCGATTTGGAACATCTTTTATAATATGCCATTTTATAGGGAAAAAGGCATTCCATTTATCTTCTTCCCAAAAGTCCATGGTCTTCTTGAAATCAACAGGACCTAACATTTCAGCCAAACCTACGAACTGGCCGCTGGTGTTGACCTGAAAAAAAAGGGAACATGGGGAACATAAATGTATTGAAATTTACAAATTAATAAAATAGTCATGGAACTGCTTCACTTATTCTAATGGCAGGACAGTCTGGGCAAGAATCAGGTTAAAGTGGTCCGCTAAGATAATCGACTACAATTTGAAATAATGGCCACAATTGATACAGAAACCAAACAATAAATAGCAACAAATATCATAAAAAAATAACATGAAGCAATCTTTTCATGCTCGTAAGTAGCAACTAGCCAACAGCAATCCTTTTTTTCTTTAATTAGTCCTCAAATTACACAGGTCAAGCAAGCATCACCTCATACATGTCTTGGTCAAACCAGCGTGTATGATCAGAAGTTTATTCAACCTTTTGAGTCCTATGTTTATGTGAAAAAAAACTAAACAATTATCCTAAGAAACCTTCAATAGGGTACAAATTCGAAAGGAAAAGAAAAATAAAGCAGGTTGTCTATAGAATCTAGATTACAGTTTTCTTTAATATTGTCACAAGTGCTCATTAGTAATCTGTAACAATAGTGAACTCCTAGCATGCCTTCTTTTTATCCTTATGTAGCATCGTTGTGGGCCACTAAAGAGTAGAGACAACAACCAATCATCTAAAACTTTGTAACTTAAGACAAAACCAGTCTTAGAATCCCCTCACAGAGAAGCAGTGATATCTTAATTATCTTCTCAAACATTGATTTTACAAGATATTAGGACCACTGGCCTCTAAAAAATACAAGGCAGAGTAGTCTTTGCTACTATAAACTGTCATTTACAACTGTTACAACCTACAAACAGGCAAAAAGGTAATAAACAATTTGAAGAAAGCATTTGATCCTTACTGACCGAGAAGAATAGGAAGACAGGGCACCTTTCACCATTGTCCTTCATTAAATTTTGAGCTTCATGGTATGCAGCATCCAGCTTATTGTTCCCATTTGGTGTACTTGCCCAAACGTTATATTTGATACCTTTATGAATGTCATCTTCACTATATGACTTTATCATAAAAAAACTTGGCCTGTTTATACTCAACTGAAAAATCTGATCTATTATACTGATTTCTACGGATCAATGGACTTATGATATCTTTCACAGTGGATGACACTAAAGCATTGTTCAATTTATTTGCCCTCAGCCCATGAACTTGATCCCTTAAATCCTCAGAATTCCTCCAGCGATTACCTTTCATATTGATCATATGGTGGCTGCTACTGTTTACAACTCTGTTAACCACCCTAGGTTTTGCAAAAGAATGTTTGCTTGTGATAACTTTGGCTTGCTCATTGGTATTAATCCTGGCAAAATTTTGCCTCGAGTGATTATTCCCATGAGAAGTACCTTGCTGGTATCTTGACAGTATACATGCCTCAGCATCATGGCACCAATGACCAGAACGCAAAGGGATCCTATCTCGGTAACCATGGTGAAGAGACAGTGACGGGATCTCATCACCATAGCCAAGTCTCCCTGAGGACAGTGCGGTTTGAGGACCAAAGTGCCACTGACTTGAGCGTGAAGGTGCCTCATCATACTTCTTTCTAGATAAAGAAGGGATCTCATCGCCATACTGCAGGCCTCTTGGTACTGAAGGTGCCTCATCATACTTCTTTCTAGATAAAGAAGGATCTCATCCTCAAAGCACCATTGACATGGAACAGGATTGATCTCATCTGCATAGCGGGACCCTCTGGCATATCCAAATCCAACCATCTGTTTCAATGAGAACTTGTCATGATGAATTATGGATACACAGAAAAAGGTTAATTGCTATACTTAAGTCCAGATAAAAACACAGGCATAAGTTGCCATTTTAGTACAGTCAGGATGATCAACAGAAGTACCTCTTTGCAATGTTCTACAGATCGACCATTGCGGCTTGAAAAGGAAGTAAGGTCTGATCTTCTGTAGCAATGTTCTGAATGATCTAAACCATAATCAAGTTCAACTGCTCCTGGACACTTCCGCATGTGAGGAGCACTAGTAGGATACGAAGCAAGATAATCTGGCCTTGCACTGATGGTGTTGGTTTTGGTTCTCATTGTCCCCAATGCATGCCCTAATGCATCTGGGCTACTTGATGCCGCTTCTAATGCAGAAGACTTCTCCCAAGAACAGGCTGAAGTAGGAAAGTGTGGCTTCTGTGTATGATAATCTCTTCCCAGTGGCAGTGGATCCTTCGAACATGCATGTGACCCAAGTTCAGTAACATATTTGGTGTCGACAAACTGTGCTTGATAATCCTGAGAATGGAGGATTTGTTCAAGTAGAGAGTGAACAAGAGTTTAATATAGATCCCGAGAACTTTATCCACAAATTGCATGGTTGAATTTAAAACATACACATCATGGTACATAGCTCTTTGAGTAACAATTTTATTCACTGATCTATCTAAACCACAGATACTGGCTGAGTAGCCTGGACTTTGGACGTATGACATAGAAAATGCAACTAGTAAGGAATGATATTCAACAAGCGAACATAAGAAGTGCACCAAGAATACAAGAAATCGTTCAGATGCGTGGGTTCGAAGCAACCTCTCCGCAGATTTTGCGGGGGGAAGGCTTGCCTTGGTTTTTCCCTTCCCCAGACCCCACTCATGTGGGAGCCTCCGGCACTGGGTCTGCCCTTTTGTTCAGATGTGAATGTAACTGTTTATCTTTTTCTTAAAACCAAGTTGATCTTTTGAGCATATGCGAACAAGCTGAAGTGTTTGAACCCATCCAGAAATATCTGGTAAATGTTTTATTCAGCATTTTTGCTGAACTATTTCATATTTAAACCTTGAATTGGTTACTAAGTTAATAATTTGTATGGCTAGGCAAGATGTCATAAGGATGCAAGCATTGTAACAGAAAAAAGGAAAGGATAGATATAATCAAGAGAGAGCCTGTACCAAATGTGACAAATCCCTCTTTGCCTGGGACAGCAAATGACCATCTTCTTCAAATTTCATACTGCCCCCTACAGAATGAAAGCAAAATTGGGTGGCGAATAAACACAAACCCAACGGAACCTCGCTAACAGAATTTGGTTTCTTTGGGAACTACCAGGACACATACATAATTGATATGAAGAACATGAATCTTGCTCGAAAATCATATCCTTCCTAATGGTTGTACCAATTTTTGTTTCTGCTTTCCTTTCTGTTTCTGGTGGATCAAAAACTTCCTGCATCTGTCAAGCAAAAGACAAGTACATGTGAGAACCGACAAATAAAATGGCTAGTCCTGAATGTGCTGTTACTTCTCAACTATCACAAGCTAACAATGTAAGGTAAAAAAACCGAGCCATGGAAACAGCATTAACCGGACTGGTTACTTCTCAACTATCACACGCCAACATTTAAGGTAAAAAAAAAACTGAGCCATGGAATCAGCATGTAATCGGACCGGTTACTTCTCAACTATCACACACAAACATTTAAGGTAAAAAACGAGCTGTGGAATCGGCATGCGATCAGACCAGTAACTTCTCAACTATCACAAGCCAACATTTAAGGTCAAAAAACCGAGCCGTGGAATCGGCATGTAATCAGACTGATTACTTCTCAACTATCACAAGCCAACCCTTAAGATAAAAAAACCAAGCCATGGACTCAGCATGTAATCAGATCGTTGTCTACCTTTAAGTCTGTGTTTGGTTTCAAGGATGGGATGAGTCGATCCAAAAATTGGTGGTGTTTGGATGAGGATGGGATCACCCCATTTGAGGAATATACCTCGTAGATGCGGGATGGAGCCAGCCCTCGGAATCGAGGGCACGGGGACATACCTCTTGGTCCTTGTCAAACATCGCCGCCCTTCTATTCCTTCACGTGTGCGGGCGAGACACGGGTGCGCGTGCGAGACACGGGTAGTGCGGGGTTGGGGGAGGGGATGGCTCCGGCGTGGTGTGGCAGCAGCGTGGATCCACGATGGGGAGGCGCGAGTGGTGCGGCTCCACGATTGGTCGGCGTGCTTCGGGTTTCGGCGTGGACAAGTAGTTCTCCAGCACGGCACAGTAGGGAGGCAGCGCCACTGCGGAGAGGGACGAGCAGTGGAGAAGAGGTGTGGCTGAGGATGATAAGTTGGGCCCATTAATGACAGGCAGGGTCTATGGAAACTGTAGCTGAAGGCGTTAAAAACTCCATCCATCCCTTTTCACTCAATCACTCCAACCAAACATAAAACAAGGATGGATCAATCCATCCCTCTAAACCAAACACTTGCTGGGACGATCCCATCCCTCTAAATAGGAATGGAACCATTCCATTTCACGTCGACCCGAAACCAAACACATGCTACTACAATGACATGGAGCTCTTTTGATTACTGGAGAAAAAGAAAACATTTAAGGTCAAAGTATCAATATTTCAAAAGCTGAAGTCTGTCTAAAGTAGGAGAAAATAATCAATGTTGCTGCAGAGGATGGGCACTTTCATTTCTCTCTCAAAACTGCCCATGTACACGAGGGCACATGCATTCCATGCAGTTGCCGCTCATGTACCTGTAGTTATGGCAATAACCTGGTTTCTCATGCAATACACACACAGAATAACGAGATGTTTTATCTAGAAAGAGGCAAGGTTTCAAGCAACAACCGATATATTCTCTAGGTTCGAGAAAATGAATCAATAAGGCGACTTTCCCCCTCAAAATCCATGCATCAAATATATCTTATGTGCTATGGAAGCAGCTTCTGTTTTTACTAAAAAGCTACTTACTGGCCCATAGGTTGTTATGGCTGCCTCAACAAAGTTTGTTTGTGAGTTTACACGGTTTTTCAGAGACGGGAGTAGATAATTATGAGGGAAATGGGGAGAGATGCCTCCAAAAAAAAACGGTACAGTTGGATTGGATGCGGGAGGCCATCACTCCACTGATCAGTGAGGCAGGGAGGATGGACAGGCAAAGAAACAAAACAGGGGGAATAAAACAGTGACTAGTATTGTATTAAATAAGCAGCCATTTGCTTAAAAGGCATCCTCATTTCTTTTCTCTTTGAATAAAATATAGATAGACGCGGTAGATGTAACAGATTCTCCTACATGGCCAACATTTATGTAAAAATCCAAATCGTATTGTCTTACAACAGGCGCCACATGACCTGGCGAAGGCAGAAAAGGACAAGAAGGAAGTCACACTTATATCCCGTGTGCTCTATTCTATTCATATATATAAAATCAACAAGCACACATGGCGAAATACATATGTAGAATAAAGAAAGACATGCAGGGACCGGCAGACCCAATTAAGGACATGGGTGTACACCAAATTCAAGTTAGTATACACTTGCGATTCGATCAGATCGGCATACAAGTAGCCATATAGCTCCATTTAGGGTTCGGGTGCTACATTTTGCACGGCAGGAAGGGAAGGGAAGGGAAAAGAAGGGGCGGGCATACCTGGTGGTGTGGTGGTGGGTTTTGTCGTCGTCGTCGCCGGCAGAGGGCCCGAAGAAGAAGAAGACCTTGGGCAGCTGGGCGTCGGGCGGCGGCGGTCGTCCTAGCTGTTGTCGTTGTCGCGCACGCGAGGGCGAGGTAAACGGGACGGTGTGTGAACGCAACTCTTCCTCCTTCCTCCTCCCTACCTGGTGGGCGCAAGTCGCTGGTTCAGGTTGCTGTCTAGGGATAGGGGATAGGGGCGCGGCGGGGCGGAATCAACCTGACTAGTGTAAGATGCAGGTGCAGCGACGGCGTCAGGAGTCGTTGCTGTCTGCTGCTGGTGTAGGACGGATACTGGTCGCCGCATCCGAACGAAGAAGAGAGAGGTAGTAGCAGTCGGTGGAGATCAGATCAGCATGGCCGGCACGAGTTGCAAGTCATGCGGCGATGACAGCGGAGTTGTTGCTTGGGACTTGGGAATGCCTTTTCGGCTCAGCATGTGCGTTCTGAGGCGGAGTGGATATTTTTTTTAGAGAGAGACGGGGGTGCCTGGGTCCGGAAGAAAGGACACCCGTGGCCAAGCATTGCCATTTTCAATTCGGTAGCAGCAAGGCTATTGCTGCCTCACATCACTACTTGTTCAAATAGCTGCCTCAGTTTTTGGAGAAAAAAAAATGGGCAAAAAAAGTTCATTCCTTACTACCTATATTCACCATACAATACATTACGGAAACCCTTAAGTAAAATAGGAACCTATATAAAAACCTTTCAAAAGAGAATAAAGTATAATTACATTTGACAAAGTTTTCTTCTATGGTTAACTAACTGTAAGACAGAACATGGCCCAAGAAAGAACTTACGTGAGCCAAAAATCACACTTGCTAGACTTAGGATACAACCAATGATCTCTCAAGTTCTGAAGTATATAACTCTAAGGTGATTGCAGACATGATCTTCCCTGGTCTTGGAGGAAACCATAATGTCATCAATGAAAATAGCCACAAAGAAATCTAGCTTTTCAGAGAATGCAACTGATGATATACATGAAGTATGTCGGGGTATTAATGAGCCCAAAGACATATCACGATGCTCATAAAACCTATATCGACTCTATAAAGTCGTCTTGGGTATATCCTCAGCTCGAACCCTAATATGATGGTATACCAATCTTAGATCAATCTTGGGAAAAATCTAGCTCCAAACAATTGTTGAAACAAGATATTAATTTAGAGGGGTTTACTTCTTCACTGTCACTGTCACTTCATTCAATGGTCAATAGTCCACACACATACGGAGACTATCATCTTTCTTCTTCACGAACAACACCGAGCAACCCATGGTGATGAACTAGGATGATTTTACCCTTTATCCAATAAATCAGTTAACCGCCTTTTTAACTCATTATGCTATATTCTCTAATCACTGACGGGCCTCAACTTCGTCACAGATGGGAATTTGCATGTCTGTGATGATAGTAATCATATACATGGATTTTTTTTTTCGTCTCTGACGTGGGTCATTAGATAGCCAACACGCTGACAGTCATTAAAGATGCATTTTGGCTACACCCATCTCTCATCTCATGTGGGTCATAAGAGCCGTGGGTTTGGCTACATCCATATGTGACGATCAGTTAAATAAACAAACAAAAAAAATCTCAATGCATTAGCAATTAAAGATATATTACACACGCAGGTCTTCGCTGGACAAGATGGCATTGCATATTAGGGAGTATGTATATTAACTAGTTTCTAGCCTGAACATCAACGTTTCTCGAAACTCTCTGAAGGTAATCTGGGCATAGGTTACATTGTCTACTAGTATATTGCATCTGAACATGGTAGCCATTGCATCTGTAAGTCCAAACAAAAGGGCATTAGTGAGCAGGATTTAGCTCTTGTTGATAGCAGTGTGTGTACTATAGTGGGCATGCCTTCCCAATACACCGAAGTTGGGTGCAGCCTCCGTCAGTTGTTTTGTTTCTTCTTCAATAAAAAGGAAACCTTTTGTCTGGGAGAAAAGAGTTGTCTCTCAGCTCTCGTCTGGGGATGCTCTCTCTGTAACCCCCCCCCCCCCCCCCCACACACACACACACCCATAAAAGAAAACTTAAGTCATGGTTCTACACATGGTATAATAAGTCTCCCTGTTTGTTGGTGTTAGCTGTTGGGTGAAGGACTGAACCTACTGTAAGTCTGTGAGACTTGTCCTGTTGCATTGCATTGTTCATTGCTAATGGATGGAGGAGCCAGTTTGTTGGTGTTAGCACACAGAGACCCACTGGCTATGGCTGGTGTCTACTTCTCTGAATTCTCTCTTGAAAGGGAGCAGTAGAATAGAACGCCCAGGGTGCAAGGTATGATGCATGCTGAACCATCCATCAGACTGTCTCAGATGGATGAATATTTTTTAAAGACCCAGATGGATGACCATTATTTGTTGTTTTCCATGTATATGTATATATGTATCCTCTGCCATCGCAACACAGTCACAGATATATATGTAGAGCAGGGCACACCCAGTGTCGGAGGCTCCCACATGAGTGGGGTCTGGAGAAGGGAAAAACCGAGGTTAAGACTTCCCCCGCAAAATCTGCGGAGAGGCTGCTTCGAAAATGAAACGATGTGTGAATTAATGATGCAGGGCAGCAGCAAGAACGACAACAACGGCAACATTTTCGAGAGATGGAAAGAAAGGAAAAGAAAAAAAAAAGAGTGATTCTATGACTCGCAAATTTTCAGTGTTCTCAGAAAAGAGAAACGATAAAGTTACAGGCGAGCACAAACCTTGCGCAGATGAAACAACAGCATTCAGCCATACCTGGATCTTCAGGAAGCATATAACAACTTAATATCAAAGCATACAGTCTACAACTGTCCTAAAAACTGGAGTGTAATTTCCTATCAACTTTTGTCATCAGCTAATCCTTACACTCACCTATTCTATGATTCTGTTTGCCTATCACACGCAAAGCCTTGCAAAGGTTAAGTACCCAGTGTGCCCTTTAGCAGTGCTGCATGGCCTAACCAAAATGGAGGAGCTCCTTTGTGGGAAATCTGTGTTTTCACCTGGGGCTGTCAACATTCTTCTTTTCTGCGGAAGAGGCCCCACACATGCATCCTCGGAGGTGACACTCTTCAGAGCAACGTCTCGTACTTCATACGTGCGAAGAAGAATCTCAAAGGTTCTAATATCTGTGAAACACGGTTGATTTTCGTTAGCCCCTTGAGCAAGGCAATTTGAAAGCATGTGAAATAGTGTTGGAGTTCCATATAAAAGATCCTCGATTAGTACCAACATAAGTAAGACTCTGTAAGGTAAATGTATGCAATATGACTTAGGAGAACTTATTATGTAGTCCATTCAGGACACTTGAAAATGATATGAAATCACCTACTGTTGGACACAAATTTTATTTATTTATGCTCATGAAACAAAGCTGCAGTTAGGCAGCTAGTACTCTTCATGCTACAATAACACTGGGAGCAAGTATATAATAATAATCAAAGTTACTCTTTTAACATGTTTTACGAAAGTAAGAAACATTATCAATTCTACCTAGATGAAGCATAGTAAGAGAATGTACCATACCTGTGAAACATGTTTTCATGGCTTCACAAGCACGCTGCACTTGCTCAATACAAGGCGAAAAGGAGCATAGAACACCGTCTTTCTTTAGCATCAACCCAACAGATGGTATTGCAAGCCAAGGCTGGGGCAAGTCCAGGAAGACAGCATCAGCAGCACCACAATGTTCCTCTGGGAATCCTAACCCTTGTACATCCCTCACATTAACTGTGATGAGGCTGCTCAAGCCATTCTTCTCAAAGTCTTCCCTATTTGCCAGACGAAACTGAAACTATAATTGCACAAATAATAACTAACAACAACAACAACAATAATAATAAAGCCTGTTAGTCCCAAGCAAGTTGGGGTAGGCTAGAGTTGAAACCCACCAAGAGCCCCTAGTCACGGTTCAGGCACACAAATAATAACTAAAAAAAAGTAAAAATCCATTATATTCCTCGAAAAACCTGTTCTTTCTACAACAGAAGCTTTAATTTGTCACCCATACTCGAAAAACCTGTTCTTTCTACAACAGAAGCTTTAATTTGTCACCCATATTTCTATAGAGTTAACATAGATATCTATCCACCCAAAGAAAGAGTGCGGACTGAAATTGCTGTTGCATCCTCACTTGAGTAAATTTTCCTACATGTATAAGCTGCACTTCACCAATACCGATATCCTTAAAATGCTTCTAACAAAATGGCGTTCCTGTATCTTGTATTTTGTGTCGTCTATCTCATTTCGAACACAGCTGCGAAATGCTGGATCACTAACTCCTATACGTGCTGTAAAGGCACAGGTTACGAAAACTTGTTTACTATAACCACATTTTTACATAAAACCTTCCAAGTTCTACATGTCCATATACTATAGAGGCATTTAATGGACGCCGTTATGCATCTTTGATGTTATAAATAACTAATTGTACTGCAGGGATTTCAATATTGAAGCATGGATTTTGCTGTTCTAGCTTTCATGCAGCCTCAGCAAAGACCAGACCCAACCCTCACAGAGCTTAAGGGCTGTCCACAGTTCCAGGTACAAAATTCAATGTCGAGGCACATGGAAGTCTTCCACGTTTATTACATGGAATTTTCTCACACCAAACCCAGCTTTAACTCCTTTGATGGAAGGTGTGCAAGTTCAATGTGTTATCATTAGTTCTGAATTTGTCATCAAAACTGACAACACGTAGGACCCTGGTTCTTCAAGCAAAACTACAAAGCACAAAATTTTCACCAAATTTATTCTCCTATGAAGATCAAATTTTATTTCACTTATTATGCTATATGAGTGCGTAAGGTATTATTGTATTCCAGGAAAATTAATTCACATGCTTTATGGGGATTGTATCAGTAATATCCGACAATCATACATTATATGCTGATGACACAAGGGTTGCGAAAATCTAATGTATCCTTATTAGAGGCTAAGATGTTTGACACCAATTTAAAGCCTTGACCACAAAAAGAAAGCAGAGTGTTCCTTACCTAGCTGAGGCGGCCCTCTGCTCGTGGAAATCAAAGGTGTGGACACGGCCATGCGGCGCGACGGCGCGTGCCAGCGAAGTGGTGAGCGATCCACTTCCCGTACCCGACTCGAGAACGACGCAGCCGGGTACAAGCTCGAGGTAGGCGACGACGAGGCTGATGTCGGCGATGTAAAGGATCTGGGTGCGGTGGCTGAGCACCAGAGTCCAGAGCTCCGGGGTGGGCGCCAGGAGGTGCACGAACCCACCGCCGCCTGCCTTGGCCTTGCCTCCGCCGCCGCCGCCGCCCTTATTACTACCTCCGCCGCAACCGAATACCTTGGATCCGAAGGGGCGGCCGATCCAGTCGTCGTGGCGGAAGACGCCGAACCGGTTCTGGAGCACGCCGCCGGGGCGCACCGCGACGGCGCGCATCGCGTCGTGGTGCTCGTACACCACCACGGTGTCGCCCTCCGCGATGCGACGCTGCGAGGTGGGCTTGGACGAGGGATCGAGGGGGACCATCGTCATGGTTGTGGAAGGATCACGGCGACCGGCCGGGCGGGGAGACGGGTTGGGAAGAGTCGCGGGCGGCCTCACAAAGCGCGGCGGCGGGGGGGTTTGGGTATAGTTGGCTGGATTTGAGGAATCGATAATGCTGGGGTGAGACAGTTTCCTCAGCGGCTGTGACGATGGCGCGGGCGGGGGCGCGGGGTTGGAAGGAGGAGGGAGGAGCGACAGGCTCGGTGGCGGCGCCGACGCGGCCAGGCCAGAATGCGGTGCGGGGCCGGAGATTAGCGGTGGGTAGGGTTTTGAGCCTTTTCCCCCTCAAAAGATGTCCAATTTCTGCATGACACTAAAAAGTTCACACGGACTCTGGTGTCATAACGCTAAACTCTTTTATGCACCACGTCATTCTGTCTCCATTCTGTTTGGTTTTGACCGTTTGACAGCTCATACATGTGACACCGGGCAGGAAAAATGTCCATGTTGCCCTTTTAGTCACGGGCATATGTGGAGGCTGTGTTGACCGATATTGATCGGTATCTCCTTCAGTCTCTCACTCTCTCTTCTTGCCTGACTCCCTCAGTTCCCTAACCCTAGCGGCGGTGGATCCGGCGGCCGAGGCTGTAGCGGCGGCTGGGAGAAAAGACGACAAATTCCCCATGCTTGTGGCGACGCATGGGGTAGTGGAGCGTGGATTCGACCGTAGATCTAGAGGATAGGTGTAGCATGGCGGGGAACAAGGGCGTGGGCGAGCGACCGGATTGGCTTTCGGACGAGCGAGTTCACTGCTTCCCCCTTGGTTTCATGATGCCCCGTGTTGGTAGTGTTGATTGGTATTTAGTGCCTTGCGTTTGTGCCCCGTGTTTGTAGTGTTGATTGCGTGCTCCTTGTTCATCTGTAGGATGGACGCAGAAAGTAGCTACAACTTAGAAATCTGGATTGTTGCTCCCAATTCTCGTGCGCGGTGGTTTTCATTGAACAAAGTCGTGGATGCTGACCGCAATAACTTCACAGACCTGGTTGCTGAAGTTGTCGACAAGTATTCTCGTAACTACGGTGACATAGTGAGATTGTTTTATTTCTGCATGGATAGTAAAGTGAACATCCAAGTCTGCACTGACCAAGATTTGGTTGAAATGTTTGCAAAACATAAGGCTTCTAAATGTTTCTTGTTGACTGTTGTATATCATAGCCCAAGTAGTGAGCCCCTTGTGATTCCTAATTGGGATTTTGGTAGCACTGTGAACTCTGTTGAACCCACATTCACCCTTTCAATTGCTTGTCCAAGCTTAGCAGAACCAAGCCATGCCACACACACTCAATCTGTTGAACCTAAATACCTGACCAACCCAAACCCAATGAATGAGCATGTGGGTGTTGATGAGAAAGGATTGTATATTGACCTTGGTCTCCAATACCCTCACCTCCTCCCAATCCTCAGAGCCAAGGTGGGAGTAAAAAATGGGAAGGTGAGAGTTCTGGTGCTGATAAATCCTTTGAGACAGTCTGATGATGAATCCTCTGATGATGAAGTAGAAGACATAGATGATATGGTTAAAGATAGGGAGCTTGAACATATGTCTGATGTTGATTATGACAAGAAAGACCCTCCTATGTTAGTAGGAACAGTGTATTCAGACATGGATGCTTTTAAGATTGCTTTAGCTACTCATGATGTCAAACATGAGTTCAACTATGACATTGAGAAGAGTGATATAGGGAGGTATAGGGTGAACTGCTCACAACAGAGTGAGGGCTACAGTTGGAGACTTCATGCCTCAACTCTAAGGGATGGGCACACTATTAAGGTAATATGTTAGTACATTGTTTTCATTGACTGTTCCCTATTTTTCTTGTATTGTGTGGCTTGTAATAAGTGCATTATTTGACTGTTTTGCAGGTGAAAAGGAACCCTTACCCTCATGAGTGTCAGAGCACTAGGAGGCAAGAAATCTGTGTAGGGGTAACACAGTTCTGGGTGTGCAGTTAGGTGATTGATTGGCTGAAGAAAGATGAAACTCTAGGTGCTCAAAGGAGGTTGAAGGATGCACACAAAATTGTGGTGCCCTACAAAATACTGTATAAAGGTAAAAATCTTGCCATGGATAAGATTTATGGGCCTTGGAACAAAAGTTTTGATAACTTGTATAGGCTTAAGGCCGAGTTAGAAGAATCAAGTCCTGAATCATTTCTTGTCATTGATAATCACACCATCAACAATAAGATCAAGTTCAATAGGCTATTCTTTGCATTGAAACCATGTGTTGATGGATTTCTTAGAGGCTGTAGACCATATATTGCATTAGATAGCACATTTTTAATAGAAAGATTTATGGGACAGTTGTGCATTGCTTGTGCAGTAGATGGGCATAACTGGATGTATCCAGTAGTTGTTGGTGTAATTGACTTAGAAACCAATGAGAATTGAGTGTGGTTCATGGAGACTAGCATTGAGGTTGCTACTCTATCCCAGATGGTGTTCCCACATAATGAGGTAGTGGTCAATGCTACACACAAGAAAAGGAAGAGGAAATCTTCTTCTTCTTCTGGTGAAGAAGAGCAAGGGGCAGCTACCACCACTACTTCAATGACTGCTAATAGGTATGTTTACCAGCTCTTCAATTGATCACAACACTTCTATTATGACTGCTAATACTAAAGCACACTCTGCTTTTTTGCCACAAGGTCTGGAATTGGTTTCAATGACCCAGTTCCAATCCAACTGTGCACATAGCCCCTTTCCATGAAGACTCCATTACAATAGAGACAGAGCCACTAGAAACTGTGCTGCCCCAGGCTTCACCAAGGAGGAAGATAGGGATCAAGAAGAAGCTTACACCAAAGAAGCTCCAAGTTGCAGCAACTAGCCCATCTAGCCTAGCCAGCCCTGCTTCACGTACCAGAAGCAAGAAGAAGCTCCAGCTACAGTAAAAGGTGTATGCTCAATGTTCTTTTGGTAATGTGGTTCTGGAAAAACACCTGCTATGTGATGGCACGACTGTTCTTTTGCTCTATGATGAATGTTCTGTGATGGCATGACAGTACTTAGCTGTAGATGAAAACCAATAACTTAGCTACTATGTGACGAATGTTGGTGACATGTTGGTGCCATGAAACCTTTGTGATGAAAAACAATAAGGTAGCTGTTGTTATGTGATGAATGTTTGTTTACTGTTGCAATATTCTAATTGTTGTTATATTGTTCTCATATTTTGTTGCATTCTGGACAAATGAACAATCTTCATATTCATCATTTAACATTGATTCATTCATTCATCCATCCATCCATGCATCCATTCATCCATGACTACTCACACATACATAGGCACCTACTTCTTCAAAATAGCATATAAAGCAAGAGGAGGAGCTCCCGTTCCACGACGGATAGGGCTGAGGACCTATATATAGGAGGAGAAGCCTAGGGGCTCAATTGACACCAACAACCCTAGCTTTGGCGCCAAAATGCTCGGCCTGGGGCTGGCCTGGGAATGACACAGAAGAAAACCAACTAGTTCACAGAGCCTCTCAAGCCTAAAGGCATCTAAGTCATTTGGCTGCGCCGTTACCTACCGTTAGGAGCAAAACTGGACGGAATGACGTGTTGGACAAAAGAGTTTAGCGTCATGGCACTAGGGTTCGTATGAACTTTTTGGTGGCATGTAGGAATAGAGCGTCTTTTATAATGGCACACAGGGAAAAGGCTCTAGGGTTTTGGACCTGGGTTTGTTATTTCTTTCTCTCCTTTTTTCTGATAAATGTTGTGCGTAGTGCGTCTGTTTCGTCTGGACGCACGATGGTGGACCTCGATGCTCAAACGGCCCAACAGAAAACACTACCATCTGCATGGAAATAAAAATAAAAAATCACCGCTCTCACCTTCTTCTCGAATGGCTGTTGTTTCCCCATCCATTCTCGAACCAACCCTCCGCGCTTGCATTGCCGTGGCTTGCTCCACCGCAACTGCGTTGCAGCGCCCGCAATGTAGCGGCGTGCTACACCACGCCCGAGTGTCGCCCCCCTGCTTTCCTATCTCCCTACCGCCACTCACCACTCGTCGTCGAGTTCTTCGAGCCGACGCGGCGTGGTCCACGACGACTGCTCCCGCGCAGCGCACCACGCCCAGCCGCTTACCTGCTGCCATCCTCTCTCTCCACTACACCGAGCGTCGCTTGCTGGCTGCCGTTGTTCCCCACCAGGTAGGCCATGGCTACCGGCGACGCCATGTTTTGTTTCAGGTGTGTTTCAGAAGTTATTTCCACGTGTTTCATCTGTATGTTGCGTATGTTGCAATGGCTATATACGTATGTTGCAAGTATATTTTTCAAGTGTTTCAATTGTTTCATACATATGTTTCATGTGTTTCATCTATATGTTTCATGTGTTTCATCTGTATGTTTCATGTGTTTCATCTTGATGTTGCAAAACGATCTTATTTTGCATATGTTGCAATGGCTACACACGTATGTTTCAAGTGTACGTTCCACTTGTTTCATCTGGTTTAGACGTATGCTGTAAATGTATGTTCCAAATGTTTTATCTGTTTTAGACGTATGTTTCATGTGTTTCGTCTTGATGTTGCAATGACTATACAAGTATGTTTCAATAGTATATTGCATATATGTTGCAATGGTCGGATGGTTGTTGCAGAGGAGATGAGATGTTAGGCCACGGAAAGGGGTGTGGCTGAGACAGAGCGCGGCGGATAACGAGGGGGCGACGGGGATGGCGCCGCGGCGAGGGGAGGAGCGCGGCGTGGCGGGGGAAGGAGCGCGGCGGGCTTTACGTCTGGGGCGCAACCGAGATGGGGATTGAGTTGTGGATGGTCTGACATGGTCACTGGCGCGGGATCGGTCGCGGATGGTCGGACGGGATTTGTTGGCACGGAATCTGATGCGAGTGCGGGGGCGTCTGATACGAAGCGGTTGCAGGTGTCGGAGCTGCGTCCAAATGCGGGGCTGAGGCCAGACGTGCGGACACTAGCCCTGCTTTCTCTCTCTCCCTCTTTTCCGCCTTGGCACCTTGCGGTGTTTCCAGGGAGGGGACGGAGGCCTATCCCTCGTCCTATTGTGACCATACAAACTCCCAGCAGAGGGACCTGATGATAAAATAAAGGGATAAAATGCTGAATACAGACAACAGATAGAAAACCAACTACAGGCAATGCAAATTTGATTCTGTGGCTACAAAAGCTCTCCACCATCAGTTGCTTTCTTTCTTCCTTGCATTGGTTTTTTCTTCATCGTCATTCATCAGAGCCAGAGGAGAGGAGAGGAGGGGGCTGCCTGATACAGTGCTGTCTTGCTGCAGGTTAACCATCTTCGATTCGCAGACGGCAGGCCAAAGAGGAGCTGCTAGTCCACGTTGAGGTTAGTTGTCATGGAGCTTGCCATGGCCACTGGCAGCAGAAGCAGCAGCTTGGTCACCGGCTTGAGGTGCAGGACAGGTGCAGCGGCAGCGGCATTCAGATTCAGTAGTGGGGATCGCCGCCGCAGCTGGAGGACGACCCCAGTGACGGCGTCCGGCCGTGGAGCCCGCAGGCTGACGGTATGTACGTATGCCTTACATCACATCACTAGTTGTTGTTCTTCGAATCCGACCAATTCAGTTATACATGCTACTTGTCTGAAATCTCTCTTGTTCTTTCTTTCATTTTTCTGCAGGTCTCTGCAGCAGCCTGCAAGACATGTAAGGGAAAGGGCGCAGTAGAATGCCCAGGGTGCAAGGTATGATAGATGCATGGTGAACCTTCCATCCACCAGACTGTCTCAGATGGATGAATATACTACATGCTATCATAATTTGTTGTTTTTGCAACACAAGGTCACAGATATACTGAAATGAAACTGAATGATGCAGGGAACCGGCAAGAACAAGAAGAACGGCAACATTTTCGAGAGATGGAAGTAGGCTTTTTAAATACCATCATGTTACATTACATTAGCTACCTACTAGGGGCCGTTTATTATATATACAAGTACCAGATTGAAATTGGTATGTTCAGTTGAATTCCATCTCCATCCAGGTGCTTTGACTGCCAGGGGTTCGGGCTCAAGAGCTGCCCAACCTGTGGCAAAGGAGGTCTCACACCCGAACAGCGAGGAGAGAGATGAATCAACCAACCATACAACTACAAAAAATGCATACTACCAGGCTACAAGGCATGCATGCAGCATTGGGATTTTCAATACATACACTGGACACCTGATGTATATGTACAAACTGCTTTCCATGCCTTAGTGCAGTGCTGCCGCTGTACTGTACATCTAGAAACACCACCACTATTTTTCTCATATACTGCTGTCTGTATGCGCGTGGCCTACTGGCCTTGCCTTTGGATTCGTGAATGTTATGGTTGGTTTGCCAAAACAGACAGACAGAAATCAAACTCTGAATGTTATATATGTTTGGATTAGTGAGTATTGTTCTGCTAAATCCGACAGGCAGATTGGATTGGTGAATGTTATGGATCTGCTAAACAGAGACAGAAATCAAACACTGAAGACTCTAGTGAGGGAGGCTAGCAAGACAATGTCAATCTGTATGTACATACATACATTCTCTAATGCATGAATGGATGCAATAGGAAAACAAACATACCAAGAGACAAATCCAACAATCTTATGCTGTTGTTGTCAACCAACCCAACATGACCAAGTGGATAATAAGCTTCGGAGATACTGTTCCATGTCACATGCAGGATAAGAGTCATCAGAGACGGCCTGAACATCTACTACTTACTCTTCCTTTAGTCATTTCGTCAATTACAGTGCCGTATTAGTATCAGCAACACATCAAGCAAGAGCGAGTCAGAAAATTGTTACACAGGTGCTACCAAGTAGTAAAACAAGTTTGCAGCTGCTTGCTGTCATACCATGCCATACTCTGGCCAGTATAACAGCAACAGATTGTATACATGATACACACAGTACGAAAAAGGCAATGAAAATGCCGCAGTGGAGTCCATTTCGGGCAGTAGCTAGGCATGTGGCGGAAGAGTACAGCTGATGCCCAGACAGACCACACCACACTAAGAGCTTCCTTCCTTGAGGTACGCAAGTCTATTGTCCGAGCAATTTGGAATCGCATGCCACAATCTTCACCTTGCCCACCTGCTCTGTTGTCTCCTCGTTCTTCAAACTTGCGTCTGTCAAGATGAAGGTCCACACATTGTCACAGAACCTGTACGTGTGCAGATGGCCCTGAAAATACAAGAGACCGGGCATCAGTGGCTGAGAAAAGCTAAAAGTGAAGTACAAATGCAATGGCAAACATGTCAATGAGAACAAGCCCCAGGTCTCAACCAGAGCTGCATTTAGTCGCAAACTGCCAGTATTACAAGCTGGGGAATGGGGACCGTCAAAATCATTAGATCCTCTCATGCACTTCTCATCACAATACTTACTGGAGAAGTGCATGGTTTCTCAAGTTCCATTGGCAGATTATTTTATTTTTTTAAAAGAAATGCATTGATGCCATTTCCAATTACATTTTTTTCCACAACAGGAAAACCTGAATCTATTACCTACTCATCTAAAACCAGAACAGAGAAACGCTAATGCAGGGCTTAACATGTACAGTGACCAAAACAACAGCAACCAAAGTACTTATTAGGCACAAACCCCCAAACACCAGCACAGTTCCACTTCCACCAACTATCAATGCAAAACAAAAAGATGAAACTGACGCATTACATTCCCTTCCTGGACAGACATCAAAGCACTCAGGATATATGATATAGATACAATTCCTTCCAAAACTGCATTTTAGTGTGGAGTTATTACTTATTAGGCAAAAAGGTTTCACATCCCATGCATCACAAGTTCTGCATGTTATCAACTAAGCCCATTATCATAAAGATAGCAGTTACATCCATCACATATTTATAGGCATCAAGATAAAGGAGCGAGGTTAACATATAGATTTTACAAGTAGTGATGAAAATTGCCTACTGCAAGCAGGAAAAGTTAGCAATCGAAGTTCAAACATGCAAGACTGAGGTCTGGTCAAGCAGCAATCAAGAAGAGAAAATTGCCAGGATTGTTGCAGAGGCCATATGCTGGTCATTTTGGAAATGCATAAAGGTACTATTGACCTACTTTTCCACCTATGAGATCTTCTAAAACTTTGGGGTCTGCAAATCCTAAAAATATGAGGGGCAGAGACAGGTTCAGGGAGGGGACAGCAGCTGAAACATGAATGGTTCACATGGTTGGGCACCAGCAACATGTGAACTGGAAGGGCAGCCAAGTTGCTGTGACCTGTGATGTCCGGATCAGGTGTGCATCTGCACACCACCTAGCATGTTCAGTGTTTTCAAGCATGTTAATCCATGTTCTCCATTAAGAACATGTTATCCATAGGAGCATCATAGCCTTTTGTTATCCATACTCCAGATAAGCCCAGGTGTCAACCTCAATAGTTTTGCATAAGAGACAACTACAATTGGACACAGGAAAATGGGATTCAAATTTTCATTACTCTTGCCACACAAAGGGTCAGCTATCTAACAATGACAATAGAAGGCATTTGACCCTACTGTTAGCGTAAAGTTTCATTTCAGAAGATTAATTTGGCTAAAGGAAGTGTTGACATGGATCATCCCAGAATCCACTTTACTAGTTTGTCTATTAAGCAGGCCAAGCAGGGGAAATAAAGCATTTAAAGGCTAGATCCCTATTCACAAGGTACTTTTATTTCCTTGTTTTCTAAATCATGGTTCCCATTCCATCTCATCATATTTACGGCTACTTATGCCACGTGTCACAGACTCAAAGCACAAATTGGTCTAGCTTTCAAGTTGACAATATGAATCATGCCTTGAAAGGATATAACTATGTAATCAGACAAAATACTACTTGATACTAACTGCAAAACAATCTTGAAGCATACAAATGACAAACTGCCACGAAATCAGCTACAGTACACAGATTCAAGGTCAGTCGTATGCTACAATAGCAAGTGTGAATCCTTGCACTGGCCTGGACTTGACGCCATGTGCTTTTTGCATCGTGTTACATTAATTACTAGTCTAGAACCCAAATTTATTCCCTCTCAACCTAAAGGAACGTGTGAAGTTGTGTACGGTGAAAGAACCACTTGATAAACCACTAGTGCACGAAAGAGGGAAGAAAATCATATCATACCTTGATGTTAACCTTGCTCTTGACTTGGTTCTCCAGAGCATCCGTCATGGACTAGACGAACAGCACAGAAGGGCAAATATCAATGACTAGATTTGCCGTTGGGAAACCACACACCGAGATAAAATTAGACGAGGAGCATTTCCACCTTGTCGAACTGGATGAGGACCTGGATGGCGAGCTCCGGGCTGAGGGTGCCGTTGGAGACCATCTCGTCGAGCGTCTCGGTGAGGCACATGCCGATGGTGGACCTCCGGTACAACTCGAAGGTGGCCATAGCCGGCCTGCGGGGGGGCACGCACGCGGCGATTAGATCAGATCCGAACACGGATGGCTTGCGCTAGGGTTTGGGTGCTCGGTCTCGCACAGTAGGAAGGGAAGGGAAGGGGAGAGAGAGGAGGGGTGGGCATACCTCCTGGTGGACGCACGTTGCCGGCGGAGAGCCCGACGAAGACCGGCACCTGGAGTAGGGAGTCGGCGGCGCTTGCGCAGTCGTCGCCGCGGGAAAGAAAGGGCACGAGAGAGGGAGAGAGAGAGAGCAGGCGAGACCGCGAGAGAGAAGAAAATGGCAGATTCAGGGCCGCTCACTCTACCTTTTTTCCGGATATGCTACAAGCATCGAAGGTTTTTTTTATAGGGAATTTTTTTTACACATGCCGTTACAATTCTCCGAGTAGTAAGAAACGCCGTTACAATTCACATATTTGGACATTGGCCATTATAATTTCAATTCTTCTCTATCTATACCATTTTCTACATCTGCAGTGTATAAGGGCTCACTGTCAGGCACGTATTCTACCGGATTGCATACGGGCGTCGAGTTCCCGTCTCCTCCGTCAGACCGACCCGCCCACGGACGACCCGCCGCGCTCGCGTCGCCGTGCCTCGGACCTTCCGCCTCGCCGCGCCCCTTCGCCGTGTAGATGGCGACCGTCGTGGGGTTGGCCACGAGGCGCCCCTTCGCCGCCGCCAGCTCGTACGGAACGCCACCCTCCCAGAGGCAGAGCACGCGGTCGCCCCAGGCAGAGAACGCAACCGCCCCCAACGCAGCACCGAGAAGGGGCCCCGGTGCGTGAACAGCCACGATGCGCCACCCGCGTCGTGCTCCTCCCGCTTCGCCGTCGTCTCCACGTACCGCGCGGAGTACGGCGCCGCGCCATCAGCGCCGAAGTGGAACTAGCCAAGGTAGCCATGGCCGTCGACCAGGTGCACGGTAGACCCGTGGTCGTCGGCGAACATCCCGGGACCGACGAGGCGGGTGCACGGTGGCAGTCGCCGTGCGGTGCCAGCCGGCGTCACCATCGCCACCACCTATCAATGGGCGTCTGGCCGGTGTCGTGGCTATCTGCCAAGTCCAAAATCATCGTCGTGCCGCGGCCGTGGTTCGTCGCCTGCGAACCGCTAAGGCTGGGTGTCGGTCGTCGTGCAGAACGCGTTCGTTTCCATGTATATGCGCTGCAGAGACGTGGTCGCGGACTCGCGGCGGAGGCAGTGTTCGGCGCGCTGTAGAGACGGACAACCGTGTCGTTCTGAGATGCTGCCATGCTGGTGACCAGTGAAGCACAACCTAGTGCTGTGACCATGGCACATCTATTGTCAGCTGTTTAAGCAAATGATTGCAGAATCAGTGCGTCTAGATTCTGCAACAATGGCAAGCGTCATCTCAGCTTACACAGAGTCTGCGGACCTGGTACAGACGAAGAACATCCACTGCCGTGGAGGAGATGGTGGCGCTGCTGTAGGTGGCCATGGCGTGTGTGTCCACCGCGCCAGATGCGCTCCTCTATTGCGGCAGGCCGCCGCGGGTGAGCACGGCCGCTCCGCGCTCGCGCGCCATGGTGGTGGTGCACGGCCTTGCCGCGCTCACGCGCAGGCCACCGCTCCACCTCCGGCCCCCACGAGCAGGCGCCAACACGGGAGAGGTGAGCGTCATTCGCGTGCGCCGTTCTTCTTCTAGCCTGCAGACGCCGCGGAGTGCGCCGCGCACGTGCGTGCCTAGCGCCGGGGTGGTGGAGGTAGTGTCCGTGGCGGATCGGCGCCATCGGCCACGGCGTCACGCTGGCCAACCCCATAGCGGTCGCCATCTACACGGCGAAGGGGCACGGCGAGGCGGAAGGTCCAAGGCACGGCGACGCGAGCGCGGCGGGTCGTCCGTGGGCGGGTCGGTCTGACGGAGGAGACGGGAACTCGACGCCCGTATGCAATCCGGTAGAATACGTGCCTGATAGTGGGCCCTTATACACTGTAGACGTAGAAAATAGCGTAGATGGGGAAGAATTGAAATTATAATGGCAGATGTTCAAATAGGTGAATTGTAATGGCGTTTCGCCAAACTCGAAGAATTATAATGGCATGGATCCAAAAATCCCTTTTTTATTACAGCGTTGAAGGTTGATTCTTCGAGTAAAATGCACCAACGGCACTTAAACATAAAAGTGGATGTCCAATAAAAAAACATAACAGTGGATGTCCATGAACTTCTAAAATACACATCCACATATATGAGAAATAGGTACAGACACCAATAGACGAGTTTAGACAAACATGCCTACCTAAGGACTCATAAACACAATTTCACGCCAACGTCCGCGTCGTGCTCCTCCCGCTTCGCCGTCGTCTCCATGTACCGCGTGGAGTACTTCACCGCACCATCAGCGCCGAAGCAGAACGAGCCAAGGTAGCCATGGCCGTCGAGCAGGTGCACGGTGGACCCGTGTGATAGGAATTCTAGAACCTCTAGTTGCAGATCAGTGGGTAAATGCATAACTTAGATAGGCTTAGTGATGTATCTCGCCCTAGGGCAGTTGCGGCCATGGTGCCGCCGACGAGGGAGCAGCCTGTGGAGACGTAGTGCTGGCGCGGTGTAGTGACGGCGACCGATGGCGATGTGAGGTGCCGCGGTCCGGTGGTGGCACTTCCCGCCGCTTCAGCACTCCCTAGATCGGTAGGGTTAGAGCAGTAAGTGGGGATCATGGTGAACCTCGTGTCTACGCCCTAGCCCCCACCTCCCTCCAAATAGTGCTGCGCGTCGGGGGCCCACCAATCTTGGTTTGGTTGGATGCCCCCGATCAGAGCATTAGATCAAGGCCCGACTCGACTGTTGGGCCGAGTCGGATGAGATCAACACTAACAATCTCCCCCTTGATCTCACCTCATATTTGAACTCAACTTTCTTTATCTTTGTCCCATTCCATCACAGATCAATGCAAAGAGCGTACTTCATCGTCACGGTCAGTTGCCATTAGATTTAATAGTTACAATGCACCTCTCTGTTTTGAAACAGATACTCAACTAGGCCTTTAGTATCCAGAAATCATAGGCTTTTCCATAAACCCATATCGACTGCGTGTTCTCTGAACGCACTAGGTGGTTAGCCTTTGATAAGTGGATCCGCAAGTACTTACTCGGTACTCATGTGCTCAATGCTTTCAAAATGATTCTAGATTTTCTCCTTTACAACATATAACTTAGTGTCAATGTGTTTGCAGCACACTTGACATGTTGTCTTAGGAGTTAACTTACTTTAAATAGTTATTGATGTTGACTACCATTGTTAAATCCGGGTACGAATTCCCTTAACCTTCTTTTACCTGTTCCTTAAGCCTCATGTCAAGCTATACTATGGTATGCATCACTGATGACACCACAACTGTTTCTTTGGAGCTTTTCCACAATAATACTCTAACTGCGAGTGTTAGCAACTGCTATGGATTTCACTACACATCTCACCAAGACTTAACTTTTGTACCCTCAACTATTTGAGAGCATTTATTCTTTCTTACTTAGCATGAGGCCTATGATACTTTGCAAAATTTCAAGACATTCTCAACTCAATTCCAGTGATCTATATCTGAACTGGACTTCTGCCAAAATATTCCGGATACATAAACTATGTCAGGGTAAGTTCTTACTTGTACTTGTATACACATCAAGCTTCCAATAGCTGAAGCATATGGAACCATATTCTTTTGATCGATCTCATATCGGTTCCTGAAACACTTAAAGTTTTCAAATCTATTACCCTTGACTATAGGAGCAGGCGTAGGTTTACTCGCATTCATACTTTATTTCTTTAAAATCTTTTCTAAGTATGCCTTTGCGATAGTCCTAATATCCCATTTTCTTCTATCTCGGTGAATTTTAATTCCTAGAACCAATGACACTTCATCAAGATCATTCACATTGAAACTTGAGGACAAAACTTCTTCTCCAATAATAGGTCAACATCACTACTAGTGGGTAGAATGTCATCTTCACAAGATGTGAAAAATGAATTTTCCATTCTTGAACTTCGCATAAACGCTATTGTCCTTCTCATTTTCTTTAAAACCCAAACTTTTCTATTGTTTTCATCAACTTTAATACTAATGTCTAGAGACATACATTTAACCCATAAATGGATTTCTAGAGATGGCATCCCATATGTTCTTTTCTTCCACGACAAAACCTTTTGGGTTGTGCCACGTAATCGTTTTCATATAAATCCCCGTCGAGGAATGCCGTCTTTACATCCATATGATGTAACTCTAAATCATAATGTGCCATTAACACCATTATGATTCTAAGATAATCCTTATATAAGACTAGAAAGAAAACTCTCATTGTAATCTATTTATTCTCTTTGCGTAAAGCATATTGCCACAAGTCGTGCTTTATATCTTTCTACATTCTCTTTGGAGTCACATTTTATCTTGTAGACCCATTAATAGCCTACTGTATTGGCTGCATTAGGAATTTCTTGTAAGTCCCAAACATCGTTGGTATTTATTTCAACTTTTATAGCTTCTAGCCATTTAAACAAGTAAATGCTTCTCATGGCTTCTTCAAATGAGGTGGAATCACCCTTCATTCGAATTTCTTTACTAACATATACTTAATAGTCATCAAAAAACTGGTTTACTAATTCTTTGAGACTTTCTGGGGCCTCATCTACTGGCACTTTCATATGGGGCTGTTGTTGCTCTTCATTGCTAAGAGACAATTAATTCTATAGGCTCCTGTATTACAAGATCTTTATTTACATTATTCATCTTCTTCGAAAAGCTAACAACATATGTTGTATAAGTCATACAACATCAACAAGTATTGAGATATTCGTTGTTTTTGAATCACTGAAGTGGGCATGCAGTCCCGCTTCTTTTCAAAGTCTTAGGTCTCTACATACCTCTACATACCATGCTTTCCTAGATCTTCTCATATTTTCTAAAGATAGTGTATCTTCAAATATCTTATTTTGGGTTTAATCTGTTAAACTCTTATATGACGCTATAAGCACTACCTTAACATCTTTGAGACTGACTACACTATTTTTCTGTCGGAACTTTAAAAGGTCCAGAAATTTAGCTATTTCTCTGCTTAGGGGTATCATTGTTGTAACCGTCGTACTCCTCCAACGGTCTTTATCTCACTCTTAATGAAGAGTGTCTTTCTTAATTAATCTTTATCTCACTCTTAATGAAGAGTATTTTCTTAATTGATCTTAATATTCTCCCCCTCGAAATATGGCATGAACTTTACTGCCATAATTTCGATAACTATTTAGAAAGACTGTAAACGAGAAGACACTTATAACTTACTTCATTCACATGATTGTGTCATATAAATAAAGTTATTTCTTGATCCGTTCTTTCATTAGCAGTACTTTTGCAAGTCACGCTTACATCTTTTTTTTATTCTTTGATTAGTATTGACCATAACGATGTATTTTTATTGTGCCACGATCAATACTAGGACAGCATAAGATCTACCCAAACTACTCTCGCTATGTGGGATATTAAATATGTGAATCATCACAAAACTTCTTCCGCCATGCAGGATTGACTAGCATAGGTACTATGCCAAAACTTCTCCCCACGTGGGATACTTCTATACGAAAACTTAGTCATGATGACTAAAACATTCACTTATATTTTATTTTTCAATTAAATATTTCCGTTGGTTCCAATTTAATGAGAAAATAAATAAACTAACAAAAAACTGTCTTGAACTGGCTTGACTCAAACCATTTCATTCACATATCCTAGCATTGCGGCCCATTGGCATGCAGCCAAGTGATCTCGTCGAATTAAAACATAAATTATACTATATGCTTCTGCATCAATTCTACATCATCGTTGGACAGAAAATAGAATTAATGCATAAAACTCATAAATTAACTTGAAATCCATATAACTACTCTTCAAAATTAAATTCTCCTATTGGTTCGAATTTAATTGGAAGATAATCAACACCATTGCAGCGGAAACTTGATAATGAAATACATTCTTTTAGTTCAAGAACATTTCTTGGTCCTTATCAACTCTCTAAAAAATTCGCCACATTAGTGTAAAAATTTCCAGAGATTTAAACTTCAAACTTAAATCCGTAACAATATTGTCATCATCAACGTTGGTCAGAAAATGGCAATACCATAATCTTACTTGAACAAAAAACAGACTACTCCTCTAATTAAATTTTCCTGTTGGTTCCAATTTAATTAGACAATAAGTATAATCATGATTTACTAAATATAACTTCTCTTCAAATTAAATTCTCATGCTGGTTCGAATTTAATTAGAAGATAATAAACTTTAAACTTTGCAGCGGAAACTTAAACATAATTTGTGAATTTTATCGACAAGAAAATTCTCTTTACTAATTTTTCTTTGAGCCATTAATCATTTTATAGGAAATAACAATTTACTAGAAAAAGAAAAAAGAAAAAAATAGAAAAGAGGAAATGGACTCCATTCAGTACTGCTCCTTCGGCCC